AGGGAAAGGTTGAAGAATGATCTTACTAGACATCGATGAATCTTTTATAAATTAGCATCATGTTGTTTAAAGGCCCCAAGGGCACAAAAAGGTTCTGCTGAAGCTTGCTGAGAAGATTTGTGGACTTTGAGGCAAAAATCTATAGAAAATTCTACTCCTTTGGTTACAGTACTCCTAAAAATACTGTATACACGGTGTCCTTTTGACCTCCTGTCGTGCATACAAAAAACTAATGCAGAGCGTGGTGTTGGATGGAAAGTTCACTAAGCACAGCCTAGAGTGAGACACTCCTCCTCTCCTCCTTCCTCCCACATTGACCTACCTACTCTTCCATAACCTGGTAGAGTACAGCAAGGATTCCTTCTGTTTTTGCTTTCTACTCTCCAAATTGAAGCAAGTAGTAGGATACATTGCTTTCTCCTTTCTGACATAGACCATGAAAGTGCTTTTATCCAGTGTGGTCTCTTACTGAGCAGTTATTTTCCAGGAATAGCAAAATGGGATTCCTGAGGGGCTAGGTACATATGCAAAAATACAGTGCTTAATAAACGATGTTGACGTTATTTTGCAACATGGAAGCAGCTATCATCAGTCATTGCTTTTGGAGTTCACTGCATGCTAGTAGTAATTATGTACATACTTTTTGAATAAAGGTGTATTGATATGGTGTCAAATATGTTCTTTCCTTCCAGAAATATTCTTTTGTTGCACTTCTAACAGATGTCCTGGAAATTGAGGTTAAAGACAAATTTGCCAAGAGTCGTCCAATCATCAAGCGCTTTCTTGGGAAGTTAACCATACCAGTTCAGAGACTATTGGAGAGACATGCAATTGGGTAAATAAATACATTCTTAGCACTGACTTACATTGATCAGGGAGGCTCAGCATCTAGAATATTGGTGCAGAGCAGCCTTTCTGGCTTACTGGCACAGACCAGCATATTTCTGCTGTGTCTGTAGTAAGAAATAATAGTCATTTTAATAGCCTGATTTCCTGACTGGAAGATGTCAGTGTTTCTAACCCTGTTCTGAATGCATGTACCCATGTTTGTGTGTATGTATGTCTATAACTTGTTTTTGGGTTAATTTTTTTACACAAAAAATATTACCCACTGGCTAGCTATTCAAGAAGCAAGTCATTATCACAGTATTACATGATTGTGTGCAAATTTTTTAGAAGCAGCGGATTTTATTTAAAAAAAAAAAAGCGCCTGCCCATTTCTTTTGCACTGGTATCCAAGAGCAGCTCAGGTGTATATACAATCTAACTTCCCTATGAAATGCTTCATCTTTGAGATTCAATAAATTGTGATAAGTTGAGCAAGCAGATTTTTCTAATTTGCACACTGCTATACATTCAAACATAGTGCCATGATACAGACTTGTTTCAGGGTGTTCATTTCCATGCTAAACCCCAAAATGTTTTCTGCTCTGGGATTCCTAGTGCTGCAGGGTCTGGAGCTTAACCGTTTGCTGTGTTCATCAGTTCTTGTCTATATTTTTTCAAACCAGTAATCTAGAAGATATTTCCTGTTTTCTTATCTATACGTCAGTGATGTATCAAATCTTTTAATGAGAGGAAGGGCTGTATAATAAATACGTAGCAAGAATATAGGTAAGTATTCCGTTTGGTTTTGCCATCCTGCTGTTAGAACTGACGTTAAATCAGTTTTGCCTCTTCATCTGTAATTTATTTGTCCATTTACAGTTTTTGCATGCCAATCAGTTGTCAGGGTTCCGTTTACCTAGACATTGTGAAGACAGACAACATTTCACCAGAAGTTTTTCAAAGGAGGGTTAATATAGGTGTGAAGTAGAAATGTACTAAACATACAATGAACTGCTAATTCTCTTGTATTTTGGTTTTGGTCAAGCAAGTAAAACATCTTCACTTTCTTCTTCATCTTGATGATGTCAAGGATAATTGAAATCCTCTACTGGGTTAACGTGAACTTTAAAAACTACACAAACAAAGTCCATGGACTTACAGTACACCATATGCTTAACTTGCCCTTCCCTTCATTAATGACCAGTATTAATGAATGAAAAGGTGAAGTTCAGATCCAACCACTTTTGGACAGACTGAACCAAAACTCTGCCCCGCTGTTAGCTGTCATCATAGATCACAAGTTTGCATAAAGAAATAGCCAGTGGCTTTAAAATTCATGGAAAATATGATAAATGAGCATGAGAATCATCTAGTATTGATTCAACTGAATACAGAGCATGTTGTGGCTTTTTCTAATCTTGAATGGCCTAAAAAAATATCAACCTTATGTAAAAACTGTGGAAACCTCAAATGAAAATCTTCTGAGGATACCTCCAAGTCTAGCTGAGGAACTGTGGTTGGAGTACAGAGCAATGAATCTGTGACAGATCCTGGAGACACTACTATAATAATTTGATGTACTGCAGCCTATGTAGTCCCTACAGAGCAATGTGGGGAGGCTGCTTTGCCTTACGTTGTCCACTCAGGACATTTTTTGCTAAAAGTTAATGTTTGGATGCAAACTGCTGCAGCTTATTTCAGTAATGACCTTGCGTTTGTTTTAGTCTGTCACTCATATGGCATTAGGAATGCTCCCAGTAAAGGAGAGGTGTTTATACCAATATAAATTTATTTGCATAAATAAGAATAATTTCTTGTGGAGGTCTTCAGTAGCTTCCTCCTCTTCTTTCAGCTGTCCCAGCTGTGCAGAGGGGGCCTGGGGCTGTGAATTCTGGCTGTGCCTAATAAGAATGTATAGCCTAGGATCTGATCCTAAGTCTCAAGCTGATAAAGTGCTTAATCAAGTCTGAGTCCCAATGAATTCAATAACTCTTAAGAACGTATTTGAAGTTAAATCCAAGCATTAATCGCTTTTCTAAATAGGAATGCAGAATTGCTTTATTGAATGAGAATTAAAATTTGAAGAATCTGGGAATTTTGTGTATAGTAAAAAACCACAAGGGGGCAGAAGGTTTTAAAAAATGAAAGGTTTTTTTAATTATAAAACATATTTTGGGTTGGGGGAAGGAGGAGGTTAGGGGAAAGGGATCCTTTGCAGTTTGATTTCTTTAGGACTTGAGATTTAGGGCTGTGTAAAAATTGCTGGGGCACAAGCTGTATTTGGAAATGATCAAAAGTAGTTTGTTAGACTGTTTCATTTGTTATCTAAAGGTATTTTACACCATTGCTGGTGTTTGTAGTTTTCCACACAAGCCAGAGTATGTGGCTGATTTTAAGGTTGTAATAGAAATTACCTTCTGTCACGCAGACTCTTATCTGATAAGAGCCTCTGATACAAAATCATGGAAAAATAAAACCAGTTAAGATTTTGAAAAACCCCAATATCTTTGTTTTTGCAGAGACCAGGTTGTCAGCTATAATCTTGGCAGAAGGCTCCCAGCTGATCATGTAAGTGGATATCTCCAATTCAAAGTGGAAATCACGTCTTCTGTTCATGAAGGTGAGAATTTGTCAGTGATCTGGATCTCCAGCTAGTTGTATGGAGAGAGTTTCTATATATTTATATTTATAGGATTTTCTGTGATAATATACTTTCTCATTTGTGTACAGTGCCTCTATTACAGGTTTTTCTATTGGGATTCAAAGTGTAGATATGTAAGGCACTGCTTTGGAGGTGGTAATTCCAAAACACCAACACTCACCATTTTATTTTCCTGTTTTGTTAGATAGTTTTTAAATGAATCTGCTTATGATTTTCATTTTATGGGATAGATTGGGTAATCAAATTCATTGTTTCTCTTCACTCTGTAACACCTTTGGCTGAGATAAGCAGTTGCAAGTAAGATTCCACCTCTGCTCTCCTCCCCTGCTAGTGTACATAAAGATCACTCTGTTCTGTCCCCCTTTCACAGGACTCTATCCTGCTTAGAACCAAGAATATGTTACAGTTATAAGAATACATGCTCCCATTGGGCAATTCTTTTGTTTCCCTTTTCCCCTGTTCTGAAGGCAACTAGCAGAACATGGCTGGTAAAGTTACATGTTTGTCACATTGTACGTGTCTATTTACATGTCTATGATCTTAGATTCTCCTCCATTAAACTTGGTATAATCTCTTGGGTAATGAGATACTGCTCTCTATCTTTTAACTTGATACAACCTTCTTGCCTTTTTTATAGCCACGTAGTCCTGTATCTCGTTAATATTCTTGCTTTGTCACCATTAAAGAAAATGCTTCTGTCTTCAGTCCTGTTTGTTGCCAGGCACTCTAGTTCACTGACTTCAGTGTTAGGTTTCTTACAGATGTGTACGGACACTTACAGCTGGATTATTCAACTCTATGCCTGTTTGATTTCCATGGGGGGACTTACCATCTTGTCTCTCAAATGAGATGGCTTATTTTCATTTCCCTTTTGTATGTATTACTATAGCATACCTGATATCTCATGAACTTAAGTAAATTGCCATTCTTTACAGTGAAAAGTCCTATAAATTAACTCAAAATAAATGTTGCGTATAGAATTTGATATCTGTACACAATTTGTGATTCCTCATGTGATCTCAGATGCTGGTTTGCACGCTGCTAAGGCTGTACTCACAGCTTGTGTAAATCCTGATTTTGGATATGAGGGAGACTCTGTAGAAAACTGGTTCCTTGGTTGTGAGGCTGGTTTTACTGACGGTTTGGCAAGATTCTTGGCAGTGCTCTGTCTTTTGAAAGCAAAATGGGAGTCCTTTAAAGTCATACTTCACACCCCTTAAATTTTCTATGTCTTACAAAACGGTATAGACTTATACAGAGAAAATTCTGTAATTGCTATTATAATGCTGTAGGTGCCTCTATTGTTTTAATTGTATTTATTTAGTTGTCTGATTGAAATAAGCAAATATCTTAAAAGATGTGTATTTTTATATCACTTCTGTGATGCGGACAAAGAATGAACTGTCTGTTGCTGCATTGTGTTTCACATTCAGTCTCTGTGTCTCTGCAGATGCTTCGCCAGAAACAGTTGGCACTTTGCTAGGAGTGAACTCTGTAAATGGAGACTTGGGAAGCCCCTCCGATGATGAGGACATGCCAACAGGACATCATGATACATCCACAGTGTGTTCCAATGGTCCAGTCCTCGAATCTTCTGGAGAAGCAATCCTGAGACACCCTTTAAGGACTAGTACAACTCTGGAAACGGACCAGGATGAGTTGACCTCTGGTGCTTCAAGATCTTCACCTACCAGAGGTTGCCAGGACTCACTAAATGACTATCTGGATGCAATAGAACACAATAATCATCCCAGACCCGGGACGTCTGCCTGTGGTGAGCGTCCACGTGGAGCCTCCCCAAAACTGAGGAGTAGCTTCCCTACTGACACAAGACTTAATGCTATGCTTCACATTGACTCAGATGAAGAGGAGCATGAGCTACATCAAGACGTGGGTTTTCCGTCTTCCTTGGAAGACGATGGTGGTTTAGTAATGCTTAATGGTGCTACAAGAAATGTTGAAAGAAATAGTTTAGGTTACTCATCAGATCAGGTAATGCAAAGGCCTGCAGAGAATGAAAACGTTTCAGCCTCTGAAGCTCCTTTGCCATCAGCTGACGACCAGCATCAGCAAGGGACTCTCCCAGAGCTTCCACCATCACAGTTAGCAGGAGGTGAAAGCCTGCAAGGTTCTCAAAGTGAAGCACCAGCAGATCAGGCTGGCAGTGAGTCATGTGCTGCTCAGGAGTCAGAGCAGCCTCCTAGCAGTGTGGAGGCAGGAGCTGCTGATGCTGCTGCTGGGAGCAGAAGGGGTGTTAGTGAAACTGAATCAGTTGATCAAGGGTCTGAACCTTCCCAGATATCATCAGAAACTGAACAGAGTGATCCTGCTCGTACAGAAAGCGTCAGTGAGGCTAGTACCCGTCCAGAAGGGGAGAGTGACGTGGAAGGGGCAGACAGCTCTTGCAATGAAAGCGCAACTGTGCGACATTCCTCAGTTGAAATGCGGTGTTCCTCTTTTGAAAGTGCCAGGTTTCCTGAGACTCCAGCGTTTTCTTCTCAGGAGGAGGAAGAGGGAACTTCTGGCATTGATGCAGCTAGAACTGAGCCAAGTGCTGAAACACAGGACTCTGCAAGTACTTCTGGTTCCCTACCTGCGGTACAGTTACCTCAGGAGGAGGTACAGGAGGCTGAGGCAGGTGAATTACAAGACCAAGATGAAGCAGAAGAAATCTGGCAAAGAAGAAGCCTGCAGGCAGCAGCTGCCAGTAGTCAGTCTCAGGATGAAGAAACTGAAGGAGCCCAAGCAGCTTGTGAGGGTGCCACAGCACAGGTTGAAGGAGCTACTGGAGGTAACAACTGCAGGAGGCACTTTCTGAAGTGACCTTTCTGTAGTCAGTAAAAATTATTAAAAAATTAACGTCTGAAAATAAAGATCTTCATTTCTTGATTTCATTATCTTTCAAAATATTTTTTTGTTCCTTTGAGATTTATTCCCTTCTTCACGAGACTCTTGGGGGCTTTGATTTAACAAAAAAGGGAACCTGCAATATCCAATACATGTTTATTTTGAAATTGGATATGTTTTAATTCTTGAGAGAGTAATGAGAAGGATGAAGAGGAGGAAAGAGATCGACAATGTTTCCCTGCTCACTAAAGAAAATGGTGATGAGGGGGGACAAAAATAACAAAACTCTGAAATGCAAAATAGAATTTATATTTGGATCTTTTCTTTCACTTATTTATATATTAGCATTAAAACATAAGGGTAATCAAAAGAAAGGAGAAAAAATACTGGGTTTTAGTTACACTTCAGGCTGTTTATCTTCCTATTCCCAGTTCCTTATCTGTATAGACACGTCCCAGCACAGCTGTAACCGTGGGAGGAGAGGAATGTGTGACTCAAGTTAAGGCTGTAAAACTCTTACCAATTGCAAAATTATTTTAATAGTTGAGAATTCTGTGTCTCACTAAAATCACTGAAAGTAGAAATGTGTCCCTAACAGGTTGTTTCCAAGCACATTTCAGAGTGGATTATCCATTCAATTTCTTTAGGGATTGACAGGGATCTAGTCAAGTGGGTTTCCAAATGTGTTTTTCATAACATTTCAAAAGTTTTGAGATCTATTAATTTCTTCTCTTCATAAACAGCTCTTTGATTTGGAAAGAATAATTTTAGTATTTATTTCAAATACTGTCAATACTTTATTTTTCAGCATTTTCCAGACGTTTGGGACTCTATTAAGTGTCAGGTTGCACCATGCATTGCAGATCAGTGTGGCTGCAGCGAGGAAGGTCAATGAACAGTTTCACCTCCCACTCTTACAGCAGGGTTTCTGCTGGGGCCAGGTAGAGCTTTGTCCTTGTCCCTTGCTGGGATATGGCTCAGGCACATGATGTTGTTTCTGTGCCCTGGCTTCTGCTGGTTACAGGTGGATTTGGCACACCCCAAGAGGTGACATTTTCAGGACGAGGACAGCAGCGCATCGCAGAGAAATCACTTGCCTAGAACCGTAGGCGTAACTTATTAGAACCGTAGGCGTAACTTATTTTGCCCCCCAAAATAGATAACTATTGGATATATCCTAAAATGTCATAGTCCTGCAGAAGCTTTAGCGTGTCTTGTTCACTGTAGAGGCAGTTCTGAGGCTTCCCCACATTGAAAAGATAATTTGTGGGCATTTTGATTCTAGGTTCTCAAGCCAATGGCCATCAGCCCTTGAGGTCGCTGCCTTCGGTACGTCAGGATGTTAGCCGGTACCAGAGAGTGGATGAGGCTTTACCACCAAGTGAGGTTCTTCATACTTTAATTGGGGGACAGGCTGCCTGGGTGTCATTACATTTCTTTTTTAAATGTGAGAACTGAGAATGAACAGCTGAGAAGTTCTAAGTGAGGAGTGGTGATGATTAAGTCTAGTGCTGTTTTGCAAAAGGCATTGTGCTCAGTCTGCAAACTATCAGGATGTGTTATGACAATTATACCTGGTGTATACAGACTTGCTAAGTGACATTTGCGGATAAGTAGGAGGGCAGGGTGCTGCCTTTTCAGTAGGCAGTGCACATGGGTAGGGAGGTGAGGTGATATGCTATATGAAGCACTTGAGGGAAAGGTGTCAAGCACTCTGAAATCCCTGAGTAGTTTTTGTATGGTGATGATGTACAAAGAAAGATGTAACGTCTTCAATCTCTGCAGGTTTTGTGAAAGATGCCTGTGTTCTCCTCGTGTTTTTTGAGGTAGTGTGAAGACTTTTTGAATTAAAATAAACCTGGGCATTAAGCAACAGTTAGGTGAGCCTAAATTGACAGATAAATTGTAATTTCTCTAATGCATATGAAAAATACATTGCTCCCAATTGTTGGACTGATTCACTTCCTTAAACTTGAGGCAGTGAAAATCTATTCAGTATTAGATATTTAAAGAAAGGAGAAAGGACCAAAAAAAAAGCTACACAGCTAATAAACAAACATTACTTTAAAAGAAAAACACACAAAAAAATTAAATTCAGACCCATGGAAGTCTGTGGCAAAGCTCTAATGCTTTAAAGGAGTCAGGAATTCAGATAGTGTAAAATGAATATATCCTTAATTCACTGTATGGCATGGGACTGTGTTTGCTCTGTAATTGGAGAGCGTAACTGGAAGGAGCCTGATAGCAGAACACAGATACAACTGTGTATTGGAAAGCCAGGGTGATAAGAATGTTTTGCTTCCTACTGCTTCTTTTATAATCAGTACGTATAATGAATCAGTCCTGCATGTAGATCCTAAGGTTAATTAACTGCCACCTCAATAATCCACTATTATTTTTTATGAAATTGTGCCTGGGAGACATATATTTCAGTTGCATTTTTAGCCCTTTTCATACTGGAAGAGACAGAGAACATTACAGGAAATACTTAGAGATAAGTGTAATAAATGAGAAATGCATAGAGATAGCTTTTATAGTACCATAGTTTATACATAGATTGCTTTTTGTGTTTCAGAAGCAAACTATGCACTACAATAATTACTTGGAAAGCTATTGAAATGTTAATGGAAAAGGTTTGGCTGTGTGGTATTTAACATTTTTGACATTTGCTAGGATTTTACACAGTCATGCATGGGCATGCATATACACATCGCCCCTTTACAGTCAATGCCCAATGCAATCTTTATGGAGATCATTCATTTCCTAATGTGAATGAAATCTTAAATACTAATTATTGCCTAGATTTAGTTTTTCTCTCCTAAGTTCTGCTTTTGGATATGTAATAGTTTTAATATTTTAGTAGTGAAAAACTAGAGAAAACATTTAGAATACACTTTTGAGTTATAAACTGTAATTTCTTTTAATTTGGGTTGTATTCTATTTGTTGTTTCACCAGAATCTGAAACTAAGAAAGAAAAATAGGTGTATTTCTTTCAGTTGTGTGTATGTTAAGTTAAAGAAGAAGAGAAAGAATTGAAATATTTATCTGGTATTTCTGTCTATAACATGCAACTTTATGCTCCAGTTCCTACATTCCTAGGGAAAAATCACAAATAACCTTGACTGCACAACCTTGATGAATTACAATTTTGCAATTCAGCAAGCTAAGTTATTTGTAACACATCTCTCTACCAATGATGTGACTAATGGAAGATATCCTTGTCTATCACAACACTGATGCAGGTGCTTTACTTTAGAAGCTATTGCCCAAGTGTTTAAAGTTGTGTATTTAAAATTGAATGCAGGCAAAAGTGCTTTTCTTCTGCAAGACCAAAATGGTGACTGTGTGTCACAATTGGACATGTAATCATCACAAGAAAAAGCTCAAGTATTATACAGTGGTTTAGGGTTTGACATTTAAACGGAATAATGAATTCACAAATTTAAACTGGTTTGTTTGGGATTTTTTCCCCTGACGAATAATTCCCTCCTTCCTGGAATACTTCCATGTTTTGTTTTGTTTACAAACTGTGGTTAAAATTTTTGAGTGTTTTTATTTTGTCAGAAGATACTACTTTTTTGAAATGAGACCTTTGCCCAAGAACATCTGATTCAATCAGGTTTTTTTCTGTTTAAAAAAATGGAGATTTTTTTCAGAGAATGTTGAAATGTTTCCATTTGCTTTTTTGAGATATAAATGAAATTTTTTAAAATAACTTTCAGATGCATTATTTTGAATAGCAAATACTGTGATTACATCACAAGCTTTGCATTGATGTAATTTTGTTTGGTTTTAGACTTGTTTTACAGTATCATACAAAATTTTGATTTTTTTTTTTTTTTTCCTCCTGGAATTGAAACATGTTCCTCAAGCAGTTCTCTTTATTCCTGTCCTATTGTGCTGCTTTTTCTTTTCTTCCTCTGAGCTTACTTTCCTACATAGCTCTTGTTCACACTAGAAATGCTTTAAAACACTAATAGGCTGTTTTGATTGTGCATCGTAAAGATAGAAGAGTAATTTGCATTGTGGCCAGCTAAAATACACAGCTGTCATGTGGAGATGACACAATGAGTTTATCTCAAAACCTGCCTTTCACCCCTCTGAACTCAGGCCCTACAGTGTAAGACAGGGAGCCACTTGGCTGTCTCCAAGAGTTGACAGAAGGCATAGTATGCATACACTAACAAAGCCTGAGGGTTTAAGGCTGTCAGTACTAAATACTTTACAGTAGAATTTAGTTCTCCTTCTCTGCTGTCAAGACATTTTTGTGTTCTCTTTCCTCACAGAGTGGCAGTCATTTAGGATTGGTTGCTTTCCAGTGGTTTTTAAAATGTTACTGCAGTGACTGATGTTTTCACTTAGACTTGCAATATAGAACGTCTCTTCTAGAAACCTTCTGAGCTCTCAAAGACTGTTTTTCAACTGACATGCTAAATGGTTTGCATGTTTTCTGCGGTTGCTAGTGTCCAAGAATCAGGCATGTCTGTTTCTGTATATAAAATATTTTAATATGTTTTTTAATTATTACGTGGCCCCCAGCCATGATCAGTGTCTTGCTCATTTTATAAGCAGTTATTAGCCAGACAGTGTTTCTGACCTAAAAAGCTTATGAACTAAGTCCTAGGTGTTGTGATGCACTTGGTTTCTGCTGAGCACTGAAAAACCAGATGTGGTTGGGGAAAGGTCCCAGTGCCTTCATCTCTGCTCTCCCATTGTGTCTTCATGGTCTAGACTTCTAACACTGTCTGTAGCTTGTGTTGCAAAACCAGTGGACAGCATTATAGTTAATGCTGTTAATAATTAACAAGAAGTTGAATTTGTTATGATATTTGCATAACTGGCAATTCTGGAACCTGCATGTAGTATATGAAGGAGGTTTATTGTTATAATTGTCCATCTTTTCTGGCAGGACAGCTTACCTTTAACATAGATACGTGTAAATGCAGGAAGAGCACTGGCATCTCTTTTATTACTGTTACTATTAGCTGGGGAAAAGCAATGACAAGTGTCAAGTTTTGCAAGGTTTTTGGTACTTATCCATTGGCCTTTTGCACTGGAGTAAGCCTCAGAGATTGTATCTTGAATTACTTAAAGAGAATTAGTCTAAGTATCCTGATTTTTTTTTTTTTTTTCTGGGACAATTACTGGTTAATGGGAAATAGAATAGAGAAAGGAATAGAAATTATTAGATATGGATTCCATAGAACCTCATCTACAGTGGGGAATTCGATTTATGGGATAAAATAGGGAAAAGCCGTGTCTCTTTTACCTTCAGTGAGAAAGTTCTGTGCTGAAGTCATCCTGTAAAAGAGAAATAGAAACTTGAAACAATAGATTCAGTTACAGAAGTGACAGAGCTGAAATAGAGAAATGAATAAACCCCAAGTCCTCCGTAGTTCACAGTATTTTATTGCTACTTAGACTGGGAGGCTCGAATTGACAGCCATGGACGGATTTTTTACGTGGACCACGTGAACAGGACAACAACATGGCAGCGACCCACAGCCCCCCCAGCTCCACAGATTCTCCAGAGGTCAAATTCCATACAGCAAATGGAACAGCTGAATCGCCGGTAAGAATTACCCTTGTTGGTTGTGAATTGTGTGCTTGCAAAACCACATTCACCACTGTAAGACTAAGTATGAAGACAGGGTCACAGCTGCTACCGCAGCTGGCCATATGCATTTATTTTTATGTGGCTGGCCCTTTTAAATCGCATGTGGGCTTCTAGGGCTTTTGTATTCCACCTGTGTTCATAAGCCATGTGGCTAAAAAAAATAATCTGATAATGGTTTTCAGAAATTCAAAAGGCTATTAGTGCAGAAATTAGAGACCAATGTATATTAACCTACACAGCAGAAAAGATGCGCATGCTCCCTTGGAGCCAGAATTGGATCATGGTTACCATATATTATGTATAAAGTCCAGTTTTCTAACCCTAGGTACCAGAGCATCCGAAGAACAATGACTAATGACAGGCCTGAAGAGCATACAAACGCTGTGGATGGAGCTGGAGAGGAAACTGATTTCCACCATTCTAATGCAGGTTAAAAAATAATCCCCCCCCCGCCCCTCTCTAAAGTGGAGTGCTTATCTCATAGATGATTTAATGAGAGTGACATAAGGCAGAACATAACTTCTGCCCCTGAAAGTCTGGGTGAAAATGAAACCATTTGTGTTCATTGCTGTCTAGTTTTTGAAGACTGTGGCTCAGCCTGCTCAGTACACTGAAGAGATGGATGTGACATTCAGAGCATTTTTATATTAGTACCTGACTGGATAAAAATATAGGCAGGACATTTGCAGTGAAAAAGTATAAAATTGTGTGTTCAGGGTTACAAATATTTTGAATCTGCTACTGCATTTTGAAATGGTAGAATACAGGACTAGAAAGGGCTTTGGGCAGTCATTGGCTTCATCTCTGTGCTGAGGATAGATAGGATGAGCTGTACCTAAACCATGCTTGGAAATGCTATCTCATGGGTTCTTATCTTCTCCAGTTGATGGACCTTCTGTAACTTTTTTAGCCAGTCTACTTGTATAGTTTCTTTTATAACATATCTTAAACCTGTTACTTCCTAATCTTTCCTCATGACTCATGTTTTTAGGTCTCCAGTTATTTTGTTAGCCTACTCAGGGTTGTCTTCAGTTGGTCTGTAGCTCCTGAGGAATATTTCAAAAAATTACATAAAGCTATGACTTTGCTGTACTGAAGAGATTGCAGAAAAGTCGTGTGTCTTATATACAACATTCCTGGTACATTCCTGCATAATTACTACATTTTTTTTTTCCTGATAGTTTGACACTAACCACCAGTGTTCAGTCTTTGATTGGCTAAAATCAGGTCCAGACACTTGTGTGCGGATCTTTGTCACAGATGACCATTTTTCATCTGGTGTTTGTGCAGTTGATTATCCCTACCTGCACAGGTCTTCACACTTTTCTAATGTGTCGCTATGGTTTTGAATCTTGTCCGTCCTGCTGTCCAAGTACTGCTGCGTCTCCTAGTTGGAGCAAGTTCTGTCCTCCCTATCCAGTCATTAACAGAAATAGTGAATAGGACCAGACCTAGACAGATCTCGGTGAAACATCACTTGGTGTACTCTCTTTGTTTGACATAAGTCATAACTGCTCTTCAGTACGTTTTTGAAAACTGCTCTCCAGGTAGTTTCATCTGTTTCAGGTAATTTTCTTCTCCAACGTGATTCTGAGAGTATCATGTAAACAGTATTAAAGACCTTATTAACATTGAAATATGTGGCCTGTGCACCACTCCAGTAGTAGAAAATAACTTCGTTAGTCTGCTATGATTCATTCTTCAGAAATCCTGGTTATTTCTGTTTCTCTACCTTGATCTCTTTGCATTGCTTTAAGTAGTTTGACAGTTCATGTGTCTGACTAGAAAATATGTCAACTCATCTATAGTTTCCTTCACCCTTTTTTTTACCTATTCTTAAAAATGGATATAATATTTATCCCTCTTCTTGTTTCTTCTGAGAACTCCTTTAGACCTCCAAAATAACCACTGATGTTTTAGATTGCTTCACCTAAGTGTGTTAGAGTACACTTAATCAAGGCCAAAAGATTTGAAAACCTCTGATCTGCACCACAGTCTTTAACCTGCTCTTTACCTATTTTAGCCTAAGAAGAAAGTTCTCTTCATTCTCCTGTTTTTAGTTCTCCTAGTCGTTTGGTTGGTGTTGGCTTTTTGAATGAAGACAGAAGGAAAGATGTTTTTTGATGAGCTCTAACCATCGTTACTAGTTTTTCCTCTTGCTAAGCAGTTCTGTCCTTGATCATTTTTCTGCTATTAATTTACTAATACATTTATAAGGTTAGTTTGTTACCCATCCAGTCCCTTGTGTAGTTGTGCATATGTGCTTTGGCTTTGTCTCTAGATGCTCTTCATATTTTCTTGTAATACTCTTTCTTACATTAATATAATACCCAAGCAATGCCAGCCTTTCTTGAGTTTCAAGTCATTGTAGAACTTGTGGTTTTGCCAAGTGCTGCCTTTATATTTTTTCTTTACTTCTGCCATAGCCTTTTCCTTTTCTGTCTTTGGACATGTGCAGCTAGATGGTTTGTTTTGCTGTAAACAAATCAGTTAAAGCAAATTCAGGTTAAACCCTAACCAGCAAGTTCAGATGAGTGAGCTTTTATAAATCAAATTCATAAGCTTCCAGACCTCACGAAAACCCAGCTGGTGACCCATTCTAGTTTCCAGATTACCCAGACTGTGACAGCGGACCTACCTGCAGCATGTCACAGCATCTTCCAGGGTGTGAGAAGTGACTGGTGTACACCCAGGTTTTGTACCAATACAGAATTGACATGCAACCGCAGTGCATGCATGGAAGACACTCCCAGCCCAAATATTCAGGCATGGCTTCAGGGGTCTTTATGCTACACTGCTCTTGTTCCATAGACATACCTCATGCAGGAGGGCTTGGGATCTGTTGTTTAAGAAGTGTCTCTAAAAATTCTGTTGTTCGTTTACTTTTCCTTTGGTTACTAACTTTCTGTTTTGTGGTTTCTTCTAATGCTTTGAATGAACTCGTTATGGAAACAAGGGAATGGGGAAGATAATGTTTACCCTTACATATTTAGAATTGTACTCTTTGTTCTTTTCCTCCTCTTTTTTTTTTTCTTTTTTTTTTCTTTTTTTCTTTAATTTCTTCTTACTTTTCCCTCAGTTTAGAGTCTCATTCATTGCCTCTCTTCTTTCTCTGCCTGTGGGTTATGTTTTTTTATATCCATGGTAGCCGTGTTCTACATAATTAATGCTCATTTGATGGGGAAGTGTGCAAATATTGCGATATGTAAAAGAAATAAACTGTGAAATGTAGAAGATAGCATACATTTTAGGGTAAAATCACTGCAGACCCAATCTGAATTGGCAATTTTTCACTTACATTAAAAAATGCATCCAAATGTCCTATTTATTTTCAGGGATAATTGGGGGGAACATTTTTAACATTGTAGCAAATACCACTCATAATGTATTTTCAGTTCCTAGTACTGTTAAAAAATCAGTGCACTTCTGCAGTTGCTAGGAGAAGACTCAAATGTTTACTGAAAGTTGAAACTTGAAAGATACTTCCTTAGCAACCTGTTTCTTACTTACATAAGCTGCTTAAATACTCTGCCAGGATTGGGGCTGTGTTAATGGCAGTGATTTTTTAATTATTTTTTTTTTTAAGGAGGAATGAAACATTTTGAAGTGTGCAATGACTTTTATATCCATTAGTTAGCATTTAAAAAATAACTTTTTTGCATTCAGTTGCAGTATAGCAATGTAGGCTTGCCACAAATACCTTCTTGCATCTTAGGCACGTGTTTGGTAATCCAAATAATTGGATGTGATGATATTTTTTTTTTTTTTTTATTGATCACTGAAAGCAACAAGTAAAAGTTACTAAACCAATATTGTGATATTTTCAAGAACTTCAGTGCTGTGTTAGAGGAAATTCTGGTACACTTATGTGGAGAATATATGATAAATGTGAAGTAATTGTGTACCTAGTGCTTTTCTTGCTTGTGTGATTCAAATCGATATAGTTCTTTGCAGTGATGTTTTGATAATGATTATTACTGGCAGTTTTTGTCATTTACTTTGCTGTTAGATTTTCGAAGGGAGAATGTGCTGCCTCACTCTACCTCCAGATCCAGACTGACTTTGTTGCTCCAGTCTCCCCCTGTGAAATTCCTTATCAGCCCAGAGTTCTTTACAGTGCTGCATTCAAACCCTGTGAGTATTGCATCTACAGCTGAAAGACTTTCATAAATACGTGCTTATAAATGTAGTTGTCTTGTGTACAAAGATACTGCTCAGTGTTTTATGCTAAGATGTTGGTAGTACGTAGGAAGGCTGGATAAATTCACTCATCATCATTCCTTGCAGTCGGTGGGCTATCAGAGTTGTCATTATAGCTTCTACAGTTTTTTATTTTTTCACTCAATTCTTCATCTTATGATTATGGAACTCATTTGTTTATTGAAGCAATGGCTTTCTTACTGTGCTTTGCAGAGGGTGAGACACAATTCTGAGAAGGGAAACGATGCTTATGTTTTAACATCACTTTGCTGCTTATGGGATGATTTGATTCCCCCAGATTGCCTGGTTTATATCAAAATAGATTCGAGGTCACACTGAACAAAAAAGCATCTTAGTATATATTTTGCTTTTCTGTTTTGCCTGTTCAGTGCTGCTTCTTAAGTATTTTTTTTTCCGCAATGTTTCTTTTCCTTTGTGTAATGGGATGTAGAGTGTAAACAGAAGTAATGGAATGAATAATTTTTTGTCTGCAAGTACACTTCTTCATAATTCAGTGTTTTTTAAATTACTAGTCAATGTTAGTTTGGTTTTGTTATATATGTATGCTTGTCTGTGTCTGAGTAATTCATCTTAGCTTGCATAGCTTTATCTTGAATATATGGAATAGGACAGAGGTCGACAAGACCTCTGGCCAGGGAGAAGAGGTGTAGGGGCACAGAGTGATTTAGGTAGCAGCACAGTGCAATAGGAGGGCCTATGTTTTGGCTTCTGTCTATTGCTAGTCACGAGACAAAGACCTGGTTTCTGGTGGCTGGGTTTTTTTGGAAGGAAGGGTGTTAATTGTTTATTTTACCCCTCTTATTTAAAGTTTTCCCTATTCCTCAGTCCTCTCCTTTTACTCTCTTATTTTACTACATAAATTACACATGGACATGCAATGATAGGGTGCTTTTGAAAAATCAATAGGTGGAAACAATATTTATGCAGATTTGTGAGAAATTCTACAAGCTTATGTATCTCTGTCCTGCAGAAAACCTTACGAGCTTTATCGCTGTAGTCTATGGCTGCATTTGACCCATTATTCCAGAAATTAGAAAATATCTATGAAATCTTTGCTTTTAAAACAATTTTCATGTTACAGGATTCTTCACAGTTCCAAGGACAAGTGTAGTAAATAGAATTTGTGATATATTTCACACTTTGATGAAATGAGTCAATTAGGAAATTTTGCGTATCTCAAGCAAAATAAGAAACATCAAACGTTTATCCCAAAACCTCAGAAAGAGGATAATTTTTTTCATACTGTTGTAGCTTAGTTGGAGATAATTTTTAAGGTTTTATAGATGATTAGATTATTTATTTACACTGGAAATGTTGTCTTTTGTAGTAAGAAGAAATTTTATATTTTAAAAGTAGTTCCTTTTGTTATTTATTTTTCAGAGTGCCTACCGCATGTTTACAAATAACACATGTTTGAAGCACATGATCACCAAAGTCCGGCGGGACACCCACCATTTTGAGCGCTACCAGCATAATCGTGATTTGGTGGGCTTCCTCAACATGTTTGCTAACAAACAGCTGGAGCTGCCGAGAGGTTGGGAAATGAAACATGACCATCAGGGCAAGGTAATTGTAACTGCTCATGTGATTTTGAGTGCTTGATCTTGGATGTTGCAATGTCAGGACTGGGTTGCTCTTAACAAGAGCCTAAGTGCACATGGTTCCCCAGATGTAAAAGATGCGCATCCTTTTCTACTGCATTTGCCAAAAGAAGATTGGAATTTCTTGCCTATGCTGACAAAGCATTACATGAAAGGAGAAGACGACTGATAAATGGGGATTAATCATTACAAGGAAAATAGCTAGAAAATCTGTAGCCTTTTTACAATGAAAAAAGTTGTTTAGATTCCCTCAGATGTTCAAAACTTCTTTTGAAAAGAATTATCTGCTGTATAAATACAAGCAGTTCAGTGAAGTTCTTTGGAGTTTTGCCTGTGTACTCCTAAGATAATTTAGATGTAAAGTTACTTTATTATCTACTGAATTTTATTTAGTTATTGTTGAATAATTTGTATTAGCTTTTTTCCTGTCTAACTGTCAAGCTTTTCCTTAGGGCCTTTTTTTTTTTTTTTTACTACTTCAACTTGAAGTCCTGACTGGGATTCATTAGCATGCATTATTTGCACTTTTTTTCTTTAATAGCTGACCATTTTCCTAGGCGAGTCCTCTATCAAAATGCTAAGTAGTGTTCATCAGTTTCTGAGATAAATTGGATGCACTTAAGACTGGGATAGCCCTGGGGATGATCACTCTATTGGTTGTGTATTCATTAACAGGAACGAATTTGCATGTAGTAAGATTCATTAATGGGGATCTCGAATAGTTGCAAGTCTTACTGCCTTTCAAAACAGGTATCACTTTTCAATTTCTAACAAAAATTTTAAAATCAAAGAACAGACATTTTTATAGTAGTAATGTAATTTTAATGTAACTTTAAACTAGTGTATCCTCACCATCTAGAACATGATTTTCTTTGCAGAAGATAGGAGGGTTAAAAATAGACTGTGATTAGCATGGGAGGAAGTGGAAAGGCTATCAGTTCATGTGAGAAGTTCTGATTAGGACTATAGGCATATTAAGCTTCTCAGTTCTTATGTTTATCAGCCTCAGTATGGTTAGCTGTGAGTGTCCGTATAAATAATGATCTTGATGCTTGAAAAGATTACAGGCAGATTCTAAACTGAAGGGTAGAAATAGTGCTTCAGGTTTGTTGTTTTCTTCGGTTTATTTAACTCTGGAAAGTACTGTGTTTTTTCATTAGAAACACAATTAGAAATGTGTAGTTATACTAAACTTGTTCTTTGCTTCCCTCACTCTTTTCCGTTTTAAGTCATTCTTTTTATGTTCAGAGACAGGTTTTCCCCTGAAGAATATAGCAATTTTCAATTGACTTTAATAAGCACTCCATAGAGAGAATTAGGCCTTTGGATTTCTGGTGTGGTATTTGGTAACAATGGTGCTACCACAATATTAATCAACAAGAGGAAGCACTGAATAAATCCTCACTGGGATTTATTGACTTTGAATTAGGCTCAGTATTGTTCATTTTCATTATGTTGCATTGCCTTTGTCACAAGTAGCACTTGTGGCCAGTAGAAAAGCCTATTCAGCACTGGAGAGACATGATGGCCAATACATGGTGAGACCACTGCTTGATGAGACCAAACTAAAACTGGACCTGCCTTTATTAAAGCATAAAGTTAGAGAAGAAAGTAGAAATTAGCTAAGCCACAATATATAATTATGTTTCCTTTCCCTGGTTACTCTTCCCTGCTGAGACGAGGTTTTCCTTCGTTTTTCCAAGCATATCATAGTAGGAGTCTTGGTGCTCTTGCTCACAAGGCACAGTGATCATTCTGACCCTTATGCAGTGCTGAGTAGTAGAGTTTTTACTCCCCAGTGTCAGTGCAGTCCTGGTTGCTTGTCCTTTTTGCAGGCTGTCTTTCAAGGACAGCTGGGGACTGCCTACCTCTGAACTCCCTTCAAAGCTGTACAGCAAAGCCCAGTTGCCCACTCGTCTTTGACTCCTCCGTGTATCCCCTACAGAAGATAAAATCTGTTTGGCATGCAGTTCTCCCTAAAAGGTCTGGTGCAACTAGGATGTAGTTTCTGATTGGCATTGCAGATGAACATTCATTAGTCACTGACCACAGGGAGGCAGAAGACCACTGGAAGAGATGGTAACATATCAGCTAGATAGGTCCCTGAGCTGAACTCAGTCTGATAACTTTGAAATCACAGGCTCTCGTCCTGCTGGGAGACTTCAGCCACCCCGACATCTGCTGGAAAAGTAGCATGGTGAGCTATAGGCAATCCGGGAGACTCCTGGAATGCACTGAGGATAACCTTTTAAGCCAGGTAATAGAGAGACCTACCAGAGGGGATGCCATACTGGACCTGATGGTCACCAACACAAGTGAGCTAATTGGTGACAGCCTGGGCTGCAGTGATCATGCACTGGAGGAGTTCACAGTCCTGAGGGACATGGGTCAGACAAAGAGTAAAGTCAGGACCCTGAATTTTACGAAAACAAACTTGCAGCTCTTCAAGGAGATAGTTGATAGGACCCCCTGGGAAACAGCCCTCAGGGACAAGGATGCAGAACAGAGCTGGCAGATCTTTAAGGATGCTTTCCATAGAGTGCAAGAGCTCTGATCCCTGGGTGTAAGAAATGAGGAAAGCAAGGCAAGAAGACTGACATGGCTGAGTCGAGACCTGCTGGTCAAACTAAAGGGCAAGAAGGAAATGCACAGGCGGTGGAAGCAGGGGCAGATACAGGGACACTGACTGGTTGCATAGGGGTGGGGTCAGGAAGGCCAAGGCGTGGCTGGCACTGAACTTGGCAAGGGATGCAAAGAATAAGAAGGGCTTCTACAGGTGTGTCAGCCAGAAAAGGAAAGTTAAAGAAGGCTTACCCCCTCAGTGAGCAAGACTGACAAGCTGGTAGCAATAGACGAGGAGAAGGCTGAGGTACTCAGCAACTTTTTAGAACTCTTCAGTCTTCACTGGCAGCCTCTCTTCCCACACCTCTCGAGTGGATGGGCTGGAAGACAGGGACTGGGGGAGCAAAGTGCCTCCTACTGTAAGAGAAGATCAGATTTGTGACCACCTGAGGAACCTGAACTTACATAAGTGTATGGGACCTGATGAGATGCATCCCAGAGTCCTGAGGGAATTGGCTGATGTAGTTGCGAAGCCACTTGCCATGATATTTGAGAAGTCGTGGCAGTCAGGTTAAGTCCCTGCTGACTGGAAAATGGGAAACATTGCACCCATTTTTAAAAAGGGTAGAAGGGAACTACCCTGATAACTACTGACCTGTCAGCCTCACCTCTGTGCCTGGGAAGATCATGGAACAGATCCTCCTAGCAGCTGTGCTAAGGGACATGGAGGACAGGGAGGTGATTAGAGAGAGCCAGTGTGGCTTCAGCAAGGGCAAGTCCTGCCTGACCAGCCTAGTGGCCTTCTATCATGGAGTGACTACATCAGTAGACAAGGGAAGAGCTACGGATGTGATCTATGTGGACTTCTGTAAGGTCTTTGACACATTCCCCCACAACAACCTTCTCTCTAAATTGCAGAAAGATGGATTTGATGGGTGGACTGTTCAGTGGATGAGGAGCTGGTTGGATGGTTGCATCCAGAGGGTAGCGGTCAATGGCTCGATGTCCAGATGGAGATTGGTGACAAGTGGCATCCCTCAGGGCTTTGTACTGTGACCAGTGCTGTTTAATATCTTAATCATTGACATAGACGGGGGGCTCAAGTGCACTCTCAGCAAGTTTGCAGATGACACCAAGCTGAGCGGTGTGGTTGACACACCTGAGGGACGGGATGCGATCCAGAAGGACCTGGAGAAGCTTGAGAAGTGGGCCCGTGTGACACTTATGAGGTTCAACAAGGCTAAGTGCAAGGTCCTGCACCTGGGTTGGGGCAACCCCCAGTATTAATACAGGCTGGAGGATGGAGGGGTTGAGAGCAGCTCTGCTGAGAAGGACTTGGGGGTACTGGTGGACAAAAAGCTGGACGTGGGCCGGTAATGTGCTCTTGCAGCCCAGAAAACCAAACGTATCCTGGGCTGCATCAAAAGCAGCGTGGCCAGCAGGTCAAGGGAGGGGATTCTCCCCCTCTACTCCGCTCTGGTGAGACCCCACCTGCAGTGCTGCATCCAGCTCTGGGGCCCCCCAGCATAAGAAAGACAGGGACCTGTAGGAGTGGGTCCCGAGAAGGGTCGCAAAGATGATCGGGGGCTGGAGCACTTCCCCTGTGAGGGCAGGCTGAGAGAGTTGGGGTGGTTCAGCCTGGAGAAGAGAAGGCTTCAGGGAGACATTAGAGTGGCCTTCCAGTACTTAAAGAGGATCTGCAGGAAATGTGGGGGCAATCTTTATAGCAGGGCCTGTTGTGAAAGGGCAAGAAATAACAGTTTTAAACTAAAAGAGGGTGGATTTAGGCTAGATATAAGGAAGAAATTTTTTACAGTGAGGGTGGTGAAACACTGGAACAAACTGCCCAGAGAGGTGGTGGGAGTCCCATCCCTGGTAACGTTCAGGCTCAGGGTGGACGGAGCTCTGAGCAACTTGATCTAGCTAAAGATGTCTCTGCTCACTGTAGGAGGTTTGGAACTAGATGACCTTTAAAGGTCCCTTCTAGCCCTATGGCTCTATGAAATTCTGCATTGCTGCATATGCGTGCACACATGCATGTATTATACAGAGAAGCACCCCAGTGCATTTGTGCAATATGTGTACGCACTTGTTAATATTTTAAAGCCAGATGCAAATGTATATACTTTTTAATTAGATCTCTGCAAGATGTGCCAATACTTAATAAGTTATTGTAGGGCGCTTTTGTTTTTTCTTTCTACAAATAAAGAATCCATTGTAATTGATTACTAATGTCTTCAATAGGAAGAAAAGGTACTTCAGCAGGCTTCATAGGCTTTAATTAGAAAGATAACTTGGGCAAATATCCATGTTTAATGGGCTAAATGTGGTTTTGGCACTACCCACCTTATGTAAGTCTCTTCAAGCATCACAGATTTATGAATTACTGCTAGACAGGAGTTATGAGAAGAATTTTTTTTTTTAAATGAGCCTGTGAGCTACACTGTATTTTGAGCTGTGTGCCAATGTCCAGATTAGCCCAAAGCCTTGAAGCTCCAATGATTTTCTTCACCGAAGCTTCAAAGTAATAATTTATGCTTTATTTTAAAGTAGGCTACTGTCTTATTTAATAAGATATGATTGTTTTTAACTTAATGTTTAAACAGAGTTGTTTATTTAAATGTGATGCTAAAGAACACTACATGCAATATTAGATTGCTGCATTAACTCAAAGAACTGTGTAATACAACTTTCTTCTATATTGAATTAGTACATTTTTTTCTAAGTGATTTTACAGTATAATGTTGACTTAATGAAATCAATCTTTGTTTTAATGAAAGTGGTTTAGATCTTATAAATACACATAGACCAAATTAGATTAAATAGTAGATAGAGGGACATGAAAAAAACCCCAACTATAGCAACCACTTGCTAATAAGTGAAATAGACCTATTAATCAGGAGCAAAGTTTTCAGAAAGCTTTGATATGTTCCAGCAGCCTCTTCCAGTCATTTTCCAAGCCTAAACCTGAAATTTCAGAATGGCTTTCATTCTGAGCTAGGACAAAGGTTGGATTCAATGATCTTGAAGGTCTCTTCCAACCAAAACTGTTCTATGATTCTATGGTTTCATATTCTTTAATCTGTATACTTGCACTGCAGGTGACATCATTGTCAAGGTGAACAAGTCCCACATCAGGCTCAAACATTACTATTAACATTGCATTTATTGAATACACTTCATAGTTTTTGGACTGTGGAACAGTCAGTTTCACTTGCCTATCTGTGACTATGTCAGATGATCAAAACGGAGTTCTTCCTACCTGTTCAGGTAATGTGATTCCTTGCTTGTAGGCATAGGTTACAGGTACAGGCAATGGCTGTTAGGGCTGTAGGAGGCTTAATGCCCTCTTCTTGAGCGTTTCTAACACTTTGCAACTATGGTGTTATTCCGTATGCTTCTCCTTCCTTGGGAAATGGAAGTATGAATGTTTTCTCCCACCACAATCCATAATGCTATTTTGTTGCTGTATAGCATGACACACTCGTCAGAAGAATTGCATTTTCTGGTCTGGCTATACTAAGCAGTCTGAAGCAATGATTTAATAAATACTGTCAGCTGGCATTGCTGCCAAAAGAGCCAGTTCTGCTCTCTGTTCGTCTCTGGTGGGCTGACCAAGGTTAGAACCAGCAGAAAGAAGGACAAAAAGAGTAATTTTAGTCTTGACCAGCTCCCCGACTGGGTTCACTGCATGGCTACACAAACACTTGTGCCACCATAAGGCAGGAAGGGTGCACAAGGGATCAAACAAGTGGTCAGAATGGGGGAAGATAAGAATGTTTCTTTTGCTGACACTGCAGGACTGAATTGTTTATGAAACTGTGGTCGAAGTACCTCACTGGTATCCAAACACAGAAATGGCTCCCACAGTCCCTGACCACCTCTCTGCGGGTCCAGATTCTTTGATTCCTCAAACCAGATGCCACTTTCCTGGAACTCTCCTGCTCAAAACCAGGATCTTTTTTTGCCACTTCTACATGTTTTCAGCATCGTGACTGAAAAAGGCAAAGTGTGTTGAAATGGAATAGTGCTGGTTTCCAAGTGCAACACTAACACTGGACAAAGTTTAAATTTCAGGGCTACGAAACCTTTTAAGTTCAAATTAGACAGAATTGTAGGAGTTTTTAGTTTTCCAGGGTATATGCTCCTGTGACCTGGCTTTCAGCAAATGGCTGACCAGCCAATATGTGGTAGTTCTCACTGGATGCCTGGTTTAAGAGTTTTTGTTACCATTGTGTTTGTGTCCCTGACTGACCTCTCTTTTTGTTTTGTGTGTGGCTGGTTGTTTTTAAAGGTTAGTGAACTTAGAATGGATGTATCAGAAGGACAACAAAAGTGCCTGTTGGCCTGTAATCATAGTTCATCACAAGATGCACTCGTACACTTTATATATATACACCCAATTGTGTTCATAATGATATGGTAAACAGTTCACAAAAGGGAATGGTTTTGTCACTTACTGACATCTTTTTAGATGCTCATAGGAAATGAAAGGGAGAATACACCGGGATTGCTTTTATTAAACATTTAAGTATTCTCTTCTTGACAATCATAATAAAGCTTCCGACTTCTGATGCTTGTCAGAATTTCGAAGGGCTTTATAGACATGAATGGAAGTGAGGTATTAAAGAATTCATCCTATGATTCTACGATCCCTTCAGTCAGATATAAAACTGTTATCCGTCTTCTGCCAAAGGGAAATGCAAGCCACAGTAATGTGAGGAAGATTTTCCAAAGCCTCACATCAGCGAATGAAACCTAGATTGTGAATAGACATTCATATTGGACATACTAAGAAAAAAAAAATTGTCTATAAATTCTTTCTTCTTTCTCTTTCTCTAGGCTTTCTTTGTTGACCACAATTCCCGCACTACCACATTCATTGACCCCCGGCTTCCCTTGCAGAGTAGCAGGCCCACTAGCGCGTTAGTCCATCGTCAGCATTTAACTAGACAACGCAGCCACAGTGCTGGTGAGGTAAGTTGGATCTGCCCCTTCCCTTCAGGAACCACCAGGTTTTTAGGATCGTTCTCTTTCACAACTGTTCACAATTCCATGTTGTTGGGAGCATGATTCTCTTGTAAGTGCACGGCTCTCATCCATAACAATTTGTTATAATTGTTTATTTTATAATATTATATATTGTCTATTTGATAGCCGTTGTTGCTTTTGAAATGTATGATTTCAGAGGAAAAATATCAGACAAGAGTTTCCCTTACTTTTAATTTGCAGTAACCCCATTTAACCACAGGAGAGCATCTGATTACAGATTACCAGATATCAGTATATGTATCCTGTCTTCCGCTGTCAAAATACATATTGTTGTCTAGCATGATGTCTGACAAGTATGTTGATATAACTCTGCAAATGTGGGGGGAAAAACGTGCATGTGTGTATATACATCTTGCAACTTTCCAAATAGGTATAAAAAAATCTTACCATATATAGGCTTATCAGACTGTTACATGCATTTGCATATGCATTTCATGTCTACTTTCTGAATGGAAATACATGGAAAACACTATTTGATTGATATGTCGCTGTGGACCATTTTCACCGTCGGTCTCCATATTGTTGTTGTAACTTCTTTTTACTTGTGAGCAACTGTATGTACAATGGCTTAGACTTCAGTTGTACTTTATTTAACCTCTGTACTTTTGGCTGTAAGTTGTCTTTTCAGGGCAAGGCTATTCCATGCCAGGAATTTAGAATGGCAAGAGAAGTGCTCTGATTTATGTTTTTTATAGCTCAGTCTTATGGCAGATGAAGTTCTGCCAGGGGTCTGTTTCAGGGTGGGTGTGAATCTTCTCTGCCACTTCTCTAACAGGGCTTCTGCTGAGCTGCAACGAGTGCCATACTACTGCCTGCATATCTTATCATGTCCTGTGTGAACATGGCTTAGTCACACACGGTACTTTCCACCCCCCACCCCCAATGTAAGGTATATTCTACAAATGGTTTTAAATAGCATTTTCCATCGATTTGATGATGTGATGTAGGCAATGATGGCTTATAGCAGGCAAGGAAGCTAGAAGTGTCTTCATATAGCTATTTAGATCTTTGATAGGATAAAGCAAGTATTTCTGTTGTGATTGATTTATAACAGAGCAGAAATAAATTTTTTTTTCTTAACTTTGCCAAATATGCCCGGACATTATCTTTCTTTAAGCAGCATGCAGAGAGGTTTGTCGACCGTGCTGCTGAAGTTGTCAATAATGCAAAATAAGTTGCAAAATGTAGTTTATCCTACAGAAGTCATCATATATATATATATTGCATATACACAGTGCTGATTACCTGTCAAAATTTCCCACTCTGTCTAGATGCATGAAAGTTATTAAACAATGTTTCTACATGTAATTTTAGAAGTATTTCCTTGCTATTGTTACAATTGTAACTTGAATTGAATAGAAGTATAATTCCAGTTAGGAATCTCAAACACAGCAATTGAATACAGTATTCCCATTCTGGGATTAATGATGTAATGATGTTCATTTATATGTGTATGTATGAATCTGAGCACCACTTTTTCTTCTGCACTTATGACTTAATTATTGTATATTTGCATCTGTTTTTCCTATTTTTAAACCATTGCAACAAGGAACTGTACATTATTGCAAAAGATGAATACTTAATAAAAAAAATTCTCAAAATACTTCCTTTGGATTTGCCTTGCCATGAACTTTGATGTTTTGAAGCCACTGACGCAGTTTTTATGGGGAGATGCTCTAAAGCAAACATTAACCAGTGTAAGGAATGCCTTTTTAGCTAAAGCTGAACGGCAGCGTGAAGCTGGAGCTAATAATAATGGCATTCCTTTTCCAGCACAGTGCCTACAGGAAATGATTTTTCATTTTTCTAAGACAGTATTATCAGAGAGCACAAAGATCCTGGGAGATATCTCAGGACTTTTTCTTCTTCATGATTCCAGAGACTGGATTTAAAAACAACCTTTACAATTATTTGATCTTTTGCAGTTAGATGTTTTAGAGATCTTTGAAGCTTGGAAGTGTCATTCAAATGCTAACCATTACATGTAGATAGAGGAACTGAGAAGTAAACATAAAGGTCCAGCAGGATGAAAAAGAGGTTGAACAAAATGTTTTATATAGATGAAATACGAAATACTGACACTGCAGAAATGGCTGAAGCCTCAGCACACAGAGAACTGCAGAAGCTGCCCTGACATCACAAATGCTACCAGGAACAACTTTGCATTGTGGTTCTACCCTAAAAACCATTCACATGCAACATTTTTTAATCCCAGAAGGTGAACAGAAAAAAATCAGAACAATTTTACTGAGTGATTGTAGGAAATATTTTTACGAGTTTTGGACTCGTTTGCCTTTCTTGAATGTGAACTCACTTCTTTATCCTTCTGCTTCAGCCACAAATTGTTTCCACTTCAAATTTAGGGAAACTCCATTAATGGACAGAGGTAATAGAGGTGCTAGCGAAGGATCAGAATTTGATATTTCAGAACCTTTAATCTGCATAAAGATGTCTGTGAAGTACAAAAGACCCTCTGAAGGAATCCCAGTTTGAATTTTTTAGTCCCTTTTCAGAGTGGGACTATTAATTAAAAATAGCAATAAACTTTCAATCAGTTTTGATTCTTCATATTAATAGGCACAGTATACTAAACAATATTTTACTAATAACTGTTATACAACATAGCTGGTTCCTGCTGCAGTGGTTACTGGGGATAGTGATCAAGCAAAGCATTTACATACATGCTTAGTTTTGAGCCATGTGTGTTCTCACTTTTATGTACCCGAGTACATATGCTGGCATAGAGACACTCATTGTGGTTACTTGCACATTTTCAGGTCGGAGAGGACTCCCGTCACACAGGCCCACCAGTTTTGCCAAGACCGTCTAGCACATTTAATACAGTCAGCCGAGCTCAGTACCAGGACATGGTTCCAGTGGGTATGTCGGCATACAGCCTCTCTTCAGAGAAGTTCTCCATGCCTGAGTGTGTCATGTCAGTGTGCGCTGCTGGATTTTCCATTTGGTTGGAGTGGGTGGAAGTCACCTTTTGTTATGATTACTTCTATCCATCAGCATTTCCCAATTGTTCAGTTGCAACCTGCAGGAATAGTACTGAAGTGTCTGTGCAGAACCAAATAACTGGTGTAAAACTTTTACCTTCGTAGCCCACTTACCCTACATGGTGACAGGAAAAGTTGAAGCCGGTGAGCCAAGTCATGTCCTAATTGGGCTCCATGTATTCCCAGTGATTTTTCTACAACTTCTGAGCATCTGTTTTGGCAGGATTCCAGAAAGTGTTAATCAGCTTGGAATTAGTCGTTAGCTTAACTTCTGTTCTCAGTTACACACACACAAAGTTACTGGCTTCTGTGCCACCAAGAACAGAATCTAGCTTATTGAATCTAACAGCTGTCACATTGTGCTAAATCAAGATAAATTAATCGGATTGACTATAACTGGCTCTTTGTACTGTGGCATGTTTACTTGAAAATCTCTGCTAATTTAAATCATTCCCATTGCCATGGACATGGTGTGCATACGCTGCAGGCTCAGCAATTAGTGAGGATCTGATATGGGTGTTTCCAGTGACTTTAATGTTTGAGAATGGATTTCAGTGCAGTGAAAACCAAGGTCCCTGCAATTTTATTCTGGTAATGAATATTCTAGTTTGACCTTAGCTAAGAGTTTGAGTGGTAAAATAGAAATTGCTAACAGAATTAGAGCTGTTAACAGGGGGAAGGATGTGCCACAATGGGATTTGGTTCATAATCACAAAGTGTGTTCCCTAAATGATAGCAGAATCGGTAGCTGTATGTGGAAAAAGTATTAACACAATACTGCTAAACTTAAAACTGTGAAGATGAAGTCTGCTGTCATTATTGTTCGAAATGCCAAAGTAATGCAGTCCTCTCTTTAATATCTCCTTGTTTCAGCATGATATTTTTCTTGATGTTTTCAGCTTACAATGACAAGATTGTTGCATTTTTGAGGCAGCCCAATATATTTGAAATTCTGCAAGAGCGTCAACCGGATCTTACCAGGAATCATTCACTCAGGTAATAAAATTAGTGAAGTTTGCTGTTCCCATTTTGATACAAAATGCTAATTAGAATTAGTTTCTTTCACTAACATTAGCAGTGGGACATAACATATTGTAGGCTTTTGGCCTATTCAAACATATTCATAAAGCTGTGGGAAATAGTTGTTTATTGTATTTCTGTGTAACTCCCTGAAATATGGTTTAGGAGAACAGAGGCAATGTGTTATTACCAAATAAAGGTACCTACAAGAAAATGTTTGGAACAACTGGCATAAGAGATTTGTTGCCGTCTTCAAAATGTGCCAAGACAGCTGGATGGCACGGCAAATGTGCCCACACAGTTGAATATGTGTACAGCTGGGAGTGTGAGGCAGAATGGCATTTGGTTCTGTCCTCATCTTCTCAATGTACATTTACGGAAAGGCTGTCCTGACCTAATGACCTTGGAGGTAATCTTATATCAATCAGAATTTTTAGGATTTCTCCAAAATTTACAAAATGGATATCTATAGGTTTTTGTGTGGTCCAACTAGGTCAGCTGAAGGATGATCTTTGATTGTTATAGGTTGTTATAACTCCTCATATGCTTAGACTAGGAATGATAAAAGTGAAATTCAGAAAGTGGCAAGATCTCTGTGAAAGTGTATCACCCGCAAAGACACTTTAGTTCATGTGCTTGGATGTAAAAGATGGAACAACAGCTTGGATGTTATTGATGAGGACTTGAATGACTGTATCTATTCTTTCTTGGACGCTAGATTTAAAAAATGCTGATTTGATGGTTGTGGTCTGCTCAGTGCAGAGAGCTGCCAGTGCAGTGCTCTGTGTTCCAGATGCCTATCTGGCATAGCAGCCAGCAATGATTTTAATTTTTTTCCATTCTCATAGTGTTACTTATTGATGCCTTTTCTCCGTGTCCTTCAAGTTCCTGAAATTCAACAAGCTGCCCTGTTTCGCAGTTTCCCAGGGATTTGTGATCTAACAAGTTTTGTGATCAGCTTTCTATGTTAAAGATTTAGTTTACCCTTTAAATAAAACCTGGCTGGCAAACCTCAAATGGTGAACTGTCAGAATACACAGTCTCTAGAAAATACAGACAAAAGGAGGAAAATTAAAATGTACAGTTCTCAGCCTGTCAAAGCAGTTCCTATGTTGCACTTGTATCACTACAGGCAAGTTTATCCCACCAGGCTTGGTTTGAAAAATGAGCAAGCTAATCTGTTGGAAAATAATATACAATTTCTGATTATTAGTAGTTTTATTATTCCTTTTTCCTTTCCCCAGGGTGCTTGGCTTCCTTTTTTCTGACAGCAATCAGTGTGTCATTTTATTCATGTGTTTTGTGGTTTTTTGGTAACTTAGAGTTCAGACTGTTCAAAATACTTCTTGATATTGTCAGATTTTGCTTCTTGTAGAACCTTGCTTCCTGATTACTGAAACATAATTTGCCACCAGCTGAGCCCTCCTCAAGAAAGATGGTTTTCAGATTAAAAATGGAAGATCAAAGGATAAAAGATCCTGGTTTCTCTAACTCTTCATTTAATTGAGACTATATATCCTTCTTTATGCTTAATTTGTAAATAGACCGAAGATACAGGTTTAACTTACATGCTTTAGCAGAATGACTAGGATTTTAATGAACATAGTTTTATTTCAAATTAAGTAGGATTGGTCAGAGAAGCCATTCTGTTAAGCCAAATGGTTCCATTCTAGTCTTAGTCTTTGAAGTGAGTATATTTGATTAAGGTAAAGTGTCTTACAGTATACCTCTCCTATACACTTCTACAGTTGATGCTTCAGTAACATTTCCTATTTTTTTATAAAGATCCCAGTTTCATTTTTCCTAGTTAGTCTTTTAAGAGCCTAATTTAGCAAGTTATTAGAATCCATGTGTATTTGATGCATTGTGAGACTAAGCAACTCCAATGACATTGCTGTAACACTTGATGAATTAAGACCTAAGTGAAATCCCACACTATGAATTCTTTGTATAATTTTTTTTTTTAGTGTAGTGATCAGTACAACTGTCTGTAACCTGTTTCTTTGAGGACCTCAGTGCAACTGAAGTAGAGTTATGATTATATTAAATATTATTAGTATTAGTATTATTAGTAGTATTATTATTGGTAGTATTATTATAATTATTACATAGGTGAGGAGGAAAATCAGTATTTGGCCAGTGGAAGAGAACAGAGATAATTTGAAAAGATCTCTTACGTTTTCTGTCTAAAATTTCTCATTCCTAAAAAGAATGAAGAGATGTGATAAGAACTTGAAGTCTATTAAAATATACAGTTAAAGTATACTACAGGTAGGAAATTGTTGTTCAGAGGTTTTGTGGTGGAGTGAGAACATTGTACTTATCGTACTGTTATTAAGCATGGAGCCAGGATCAAATCTTACTGCAAGCCACCACAGATAAAACTGAAAGGCTCTTAAATAATATAAAAGGCTTCAGGCAAAGGCACTGATTATATTAAACGTATTTTATATCTTAAGAGAAGATAAAAGGCATATATTTAAAAAACTACCATTGAAGTGAAAACCCATTGGTGACCCTGAGAAGTCACAGATTGCATTCATCTGGAGGCCTGCAGACATTAGTTAACCCGGAAAACATCCTTCTGGTTCCTGGTGTTGCTGCCAACTAAATGCTAAGATATATTTTGTAATCCACCATTTATTTCCTCAAACCTTGCCATTTCGGCACTGATGTACATTGGAGTAGGCTCTGGAAGTGTCCAGACATCCCTGTTCTGGGCACTCTAGGGCCGTGCTTGCAGGTGGGCAGTGCATGTTGGCTTTGGCTCAATGCTGTGCTAGTGGAACTACAGGGCTTCCAGGCTGAGTCTTGACTGGCAACCACAGTGTTAACAAAGCAGGTGCTTGACTTTCAGTACATCTCTTCATAGAGAAACAGTGAAATACACACTCCTGCTACAGCCACACCTGCCACCCTGGCAAGCAGGGTCTGCGGGGCTCTGGGCACAGCCTGGCTGTGGCCCTTTTTCACCTTTGAATGTGCTGTAAATGTAGTGCAGGTTGCCAGGGAGTGTATGCTAGGTCCACTGATGACAAGGTCTTTATGCATTGTGATTTTGGAGGCAGATGACACGAAATTTGTTCTGATCTTTTTGTTGAAACTGCTGGGCATGAAATGATGTGTTCCAGAAATTAATAATGCAGCTTAAACTGTGCAGCTGCCAGCTGCCTTGTTACAGTGCTGATCGCATGGATTGTTTTTGACCTTCTTGTCACTGTTGGTAATAGGACAGTGGAGTAGATGGACCTTAGAGCTGAGCCAATGCTGTTGTTCTTGTGGGGAGTTCTTTACTTTTGTGTGTGTTTGGGGGTTTTATCCTTTGGAATTGAGACAGTTTCTACTACTTGGGCTTGGTTTTTGTCATCTTTTCCTCCTGAAGAGTAAAGCCAAATTAGAATTTATCTCTACTGTACCATCATATACCTTGTACTGATAGAGAAGAAATAAAAGGGATGTACTTCTACTTTAGAATGCAGGGGAAAACTCCAAAGTAAAAAATAACAGGAATCAGCCAAGGAATTATACTCAATATAGGTCCTAAAAATCTGCCTGTTACCATTCTCAGAATTTAGGATGCATGGATTCCACAATAGTGACCAAACGGGTCTGGGAGGAAGGGTGTGTGCTTGGGTGAGATGGGGGGCGGGGAGAAATACTACAAGGGCTTTTCTGGAAGATCTCTTAAATGCAGTGTAGTATGAAAACCCTGCTTTTAAAATCACAAGTGTGCATGTAATGTATGGCTGGCATTTGTACAGAGGTTCAAAAAAGACAGGACCTCTTTAAACAGTTCACTTTCAGAATAGTGCTGTTCTCCTGTAGGGCTTAGCCTCCTACTTGGAATACAGGGACACAGCTAGTGTGAACTTGAAGGATTTTTTTTTTTTTTTTTTTTGGCTTGTTGAGTGGCTGTACTACCTGAAGCAACCTGAGTATTGAAGAGATCAGGGCAAGAGGAGAGTCATTCCTCAAAACAAATTGGCTTTTTTTGGTTTTAATATTTTGCTGCTCACGTGGACATGGTAGGGCAGGGAAAAAAATGGTTTCTGAAATACAGAGGCATAACCCAGAGGTTTTTATTTACCCTGTATTTTTTGTTGTTGCTGTGGTGTACATTGGTGCCTTATTTGCAAAAGATATTTTGGAAGTCTTTTTTTGCTTACACAGGGAGAAGATCCAGTTCATCCGGACAGAGGGAACTCCTGGGTTGGTGCGTTTATCCAGTGATGCAGACCTTGTCATGTTACTCAGGTAGGCACTGCTGCTTTTGATGCACGTATGGAATATGCTGTAGCAGCTGCTGAGGAGCCTTTCAGTGAGTAGTGTGTGCTGATTTAGTGACCTGATCATTTCCCCTTCAGTTCTTGGACTTGCAGCTGGGAGAGCTACAACTCAAGGGTCAGATTTTTTATTTTCATCATGGTCAGTTTCTAGTAGTTGGAGGTCACATTTTTTCATTGGAGTGATGGAATGAGACACTCTGTCTGAGGAGAGGGCGAGTGCAAGAGTAGTGTGCTTGTGATTTATATGGATTTGCCCAGACCACCTTCTGTTGTCCTGTTGCATCAAGCTCTGACGTTTAGATAGGTGGTACAGTTTAGATCTCTTTGCAAGAATGTGCCTTCTACTGCTTTAAGAATGGATCTGTTTAGTTTTGTGGTTTGGGAAGTCCGTATTTGTGAATGTTCATACTTGAGATGTGTTTTTATTACTTATGTCTTGCTACCTTTTCACCATGCTGTCAAGCATTTTCCCATTGAATAAAGGAAATACTGTTACAGAGTTCAAGAAATGGGAAGCTCCTTCTTTAATGTTTTTAATTTAAGCAATTAACTCAAAAAATCAGGTGGATTTTTTGCTAGAATTAAACCCTTGTATCTTGATGTTGTATTCTCATCCATTGTAAAAGTGCATCAAGAAATTTATGAGTACATTTAAAATTGAATCTAGTGAAATAGGATTGGCATTAGTAGTAGTATTTTGAGGTCAGGTTGCATAATGATAATCCTTTCTGGTCCTTAAATCTCTGAAGTAATTACAGCTGTAAAAAAAAATAATCTCATTTTAAAGCCATGCTGAAGCTTTTTAAAATGTGAATAGTTGTTTCTTAAAAAACTTTTTAAGATTTTTGTTTTGATATATAATGCATGGAGATGACAGTTTTTACATATAAAAATATCTCTTCAGCTATTTTTTTTAAATAAAGGTTGCATGAATGATTTTGTCATTGCTCTCTGACTGGGTTTTGTTCCCTCTAGTGTTCTGTTCAACAGCAAAGAGTGCAAATAATTCTTATAGTGGAAATAAAGCAAATTCAAAATTTTGATTGCAATATCTCTTTTGTAGAAAAGCAATAATCAGTATAGCTGATTTTTAAGAGAAAAGTAGTATCCAGTGCCTCCCTAGATTAACTTTATCATCTTCTTTAGGTTATATTTCTCTTAATCTACTTTTTTTTCCAAAAAAATATCTAGTGGAAAAGCATTGCTTGAGGGTTTTCCTGATGTTTTATTAACGATCTAATGTTATCTATGCATCCATTAGTTTCTTAAATGTTGGATGTTAAACCTCAAGACTGGGCTGAGTTACTGTGAGCTTATTGTGAATAAATACTGATGTGAAATTGAAAGTGGGCTAAGTTAAAATAGTGGTGTACTGAGATGATGAAACTTCTTTTCTTACCAATATTTAGTCTCGGTGGATTTTTACTTTTAACAGTATCTTCTAGCAGGGTGTCATCATGACCCTTTTCTATGAAACCCTGAAAAGACTGCACTCTAATCATGATGACTCAGTCTTTTGGGGCTCAGGACACCTGGGTTCTGTATCTAGCTTGGCTGGTTGAATGACCTTGGGAAGGCTGTATCCATTTCCATGCCACTCTTTCTTCAGTTAGGGAGAAATGATATAATTGTCCTGTAAAGCAGTCTGAGATGTAGTAAATAACTGGGTGGAATCAATACTTCTAATATTTTTATTGCTTGGGAACACTGGACATTTTTTCACCTGCTTCAGTAAATATTAAGTTGCAGCTAACTAAAAAAAAAAGCCAACCCCTGTGCATTTAGGGACTGAAGGAGGTACAATGCATTGCATTTTAAAAAATACTCTGAGAACAGCTTCAGATGTTAAGAAGAAAATATTTTTCAGTTTCTTCTAAATATGTTGTTAGTATTCAACACAAATCATTATTTTAACTCCTAATTGAATCAAAGATTGAAATAGTGGTTTATATTTGTCATATTTTCAGCATCAAAATGTGACTTGGAGGAAAACAACACATGGTCATGAATGTAAAAAGAACTGCCAGAGAATCCCAATTCCAAAAAATAAAATCTCATACGAAAAATTTTTCTCAGTATTTGTTTGGCGAACCAACTTAGTAAGAAACATCTTTTATTTGAACATTGCTTTCATTGGTTGAGCTCTATAGTAAAAGATTGGCTTGTGATTCTTTCTATAGCTCGATTTTTGAAAATAATTTTTACATATTATCTCAATAGCTTATACTTACCTGTGTTGTGTTTAACATCCAACATAGGCTTTGATACCATATCCATTCTGATATTAGATATTCTGTCTCCCTGGATTTGTTTGTGTCAATTTTGGGAAAACACTAGTATTTTAACATATAGAAGTACACAGATGCAGTGATTAGGCTGCAAAATGTTTATTGTTTTTCTCTTAAAAGTTGTGTAGCAATAATAGATGGGGCATGAAATAAATCAATCTCAACAGAGTAGATGTGATACCTGCTTCATAGAATCATGGAATCGTAGAATGGTTTGGGTTGGAAGGGACCTCATCTAGTTCCAGCCCCCTCAGGGGCACCTTCCACCAGACCAGGTTGCTCCAAGTCCCATCCAACCTGGCCTTGAACACTGCCAGGGAGGGGGCAGCCACAGCTTCTCTGGGCACCCTGTGCCAGTGCCTCATCACCCTCACAGTAAAGAATTTCTTCCTAATATCTAATCTAAATCTCCCTTCTTTCAGTTTGAAACCATTACCCTCATCCTATCACTACACTCCCTGGTAAACAGTCCCTCCCCACCTTTCCTGCAGGCCCCTTTGAAGTACTGGAAGGCCACTTATAAGGTCTCCCCGAAGCCTTCTCTTCTCCAGACTAAACAACCCCAACTCTCTCAGCCTGTCCTCACAGGGTAGTTGCTCCAGCCCCATGATCATCTTCATGGCCTTCCTCTGGACCCGAGCAGGTCCATGTCTGTCTTGTGCTGGAGACTTCAGAGCTGAGCACAGCACTGCAGGTGGGGTCTCACCGGAGTGGAATAGAGGGGGAGAATCACCTCCCTTGATTTGCTGACCATGCTGCTTTTGATGCAGCCCGGGATGTGATTCACTTTCGGGGCTGTGAGTGCACATTCCTGGCTCATATTCAGTTTCAACAACGGTGTTAGCATTAAAGATAAAATAAAGAAATAACTTATGCCCAGAACCTTGCTATTCAATACACTCAACAAGTTCAGATATGATTCTTAGTCCTGGAGGCTTAGAATGTTTGTCTCTGTTCCTGGTCTTTGTGCAGTATTGCAGATCTTTTTCCAGGAAAGTGTGACTAAGGTTATTGATCCCTTTGTAAAGAGAGCACAAGTTTTAAAAAAAAAAAAAAAAAGGCAAAATTTAAAGGCTGATTAACTATATTTTAACCTTGAAAACAAATACTACACTATATATAGCAATGTCTCACAAGAGTAGTAATTACTGCTTTCCAGTACTTTCAAGATCTGATTGAGGGAATGGCAATAAAATATTTTACAGCACTCTTAAGTGTGCATAGTGGAAATAGGCAAGTGACTACCAAGGAAAGCAGGTTAGTAACTAGAGATTTATTCCTAGAAAGTGGAAAATGCCATTAGTTCAAATAAACATGTTATTTGCTCCTTTTTACCAGCTTGTTTGAGGAGGAGATAATGTCATATGTGCCACCACATGCCTTACTTCATCCTAGTTATTGCCAGTCCCCAAGAGGCTCGCCAGTGTCTTCGCCTCAGAACTCTCCAGGTAAGTTGCTCAGGCACAGCTTCTGCAGAGGCTGTATGAAACCATTTCTCATACTTGGTAAGGACCAGTTCCAGATCAGTAAAGTCAGTAGCACACCCCTGCTGCCTTCCCAGAAGTTGGAGAACAAAAACAGTGGAAAAACTGTTTGACTAATTTTTTGTTTGCTTTCCAAATTGAAATTCACAGCAGCCTAAAGCCAAGAACCTACTATTTGGAAACTATAACCTATTCCCCTTTGCGGCTCCCAGCTTTTAGATGAGTAAAGTTCTGTGAGTTGAAGCACCTTCTGAGTGGTCAGTGAGCTCATCACTGCATCACTCATTATGATGGTATCTGTAAGACACTGCAGTAGAGCTAGTCCCATAATTCAGTTTATATTATGCTGCATGTAATGACTTTCCACCTCTCTGAAGATCCAAGTTCTGTTGCTCCAGCAACAACAAAGATTTAATCCTATTTTTGAGCAAAGTCAACAAGTGTGATTGCATTTGACTGTCAAACTTGAACCTTTGCCTTGGGCTCCCAAGATGTTTTGCTGGTAGAAAAGGTTGGTGTATTACAACTTCAGAGGCTATGATTTTGTTCTGACTTGTAAAATGCACAAACTTGTTTTTCACTGATGTGAAACAGCTAAGTGCTCTTGCCAGGATCCTAATGCCTAGAGAGTTAGAAATATAAGATCTAATAACTGTACCTAAAAATACCAGTGTTAATGGGGCTGTGGGGGCAATAAGTGACAATTTTATGTAAAGACATATTTTTGTGCCTTAACATGAGCTCAAAGGATACCATATTGCAGCTCTGGAAATACACATCAGAAAGAAATGAAACTGATATTTCATGTATTAACTAAGTTGCAAATCAGAACTAAATTATTTCAAATATGACAAGTTCCATTTGACTCTGAAGGCTAAGTACAGCAATTTGAAGTTTATAGATGTCGCTATTCTTAGTTTTCTCAAGATAATAGGTAAGTAAAATAAAATTACTGCAGTAAATCAGGAGTGGCTTAAGGGGATTTCTACAACTTTGAGAACGAAAGCATAGATAAATAGAGAACATTTGGGACATAAGCAACTCTAGGTAGTTCCGGACAATAAAAAAATTTTATCATAAAAAGTACTGTGATTTTTATGGGCATTTCCCAGCCCACAATCATAAAGAGCTTTGCCTTTTCAAGAAACCAGATTAAAACCATTCATAAACATGTCCTGAGTGGTAGCTTTTCCTGCTGCTGGACATAGGACCTCTGTAGGACCTATTTGAAGGACCTATACAAAGACCTTAATGGTCTCGGGACATTCTGCAAAGCAGCAAAATATAATATTCACATGTATTGATATTTTCGATACATATATGGTTTAGATATAACTGTTGCCCTTTCTTGAAAAGAAAGGAAAAATGAAATCTGCATGTATGCATCTTATTTCCAACTACAAACCTGGCACTCTTTTATGAGTAAAAATCGTTTTGGCTTTCAGAGTTACAATTTCTTAATTACTAGGACATGCACCAAAGCATGCTGGACAGGGCTTCACTCCAATAAAGTAATTTCAAAATGCATTCAGTCTTTAACATGCAATAATCTTATCTATTCCTCGATGAAGCAGCACACAGTAAAGGATGAACAGTGATGGTTTCAGTCCCGTTCTTTGTAAAATTGTAATCTCTGTTCTATTTCATGGGAAAATATAGAGGGACGATTGAATCTCTCCCTGTCAGTCTGCAAGTATGCATGTTTGTGTTGGTGTACAAATGACTTTTTTGACAATAAATTGTAGATACCACATCGTTTCTATGGAGGCTTTGTGTTTTTTCGTCAGCTAAACTGTCTGTGCTGCACTGCACAAGGTTGTGTGTTAAGGACCCATTGTTCAGATCAGTCACAATCGGTTGTACTTTCTCTTTCGGGAAAGATGAATAGTCATGAAGCTACTCTTTACATCTGCTTTAGAATATATCCTCTTTGAAAATCAAATATGATTATCACATCACTGGTGTTTTTTAGCTCTTCCATTAACATCTTTTGTTCCCAAGGCGGAAGTAATCACTGTAATTGCCCAGGAATTTCTTGGCATATGCATCTGATTTGCAATGAGGACTTGTCATGTGCTGGCAGAATAATATACTGCTGATTTCTGAACCATGAAGTGATGTGTTACCAGAGTTATGTTCTGCGGTATCTCTCAGCAAAAACTTCCTTCAGGGGTTAAGATTAAAGTATGCCTTTGTTGCCTTTTTTTGGTGACTACATTTTTGTACCTACTTTGACCCAAAGCAAAATAAACAAAGTAGGGGGGAAAGGCCAATAATTAAAAGGCTGCTTACAGTTTCAAGTTTCTGTAAGTTTTCTAGAGAATTCAGCTGAGTGTACCATTAGAAGCCCTTGCCTTGAATAACCACTGTAGATTAGTCAATGACCATTATTTGTTTTCCAGAGGCATCCTGCATGTTCTCATTGGGGCTCTGAGGATTCCCTGACACTTTCTGTTCCTCTCACACATCACCCTAAGCCTAGCCCAAGTGGCAAGTGTCTTTCTGGTCAGACAGGTCTTTTAAAGACCTGTAAGTGGCATTCAGTGTTAATACTGATCTTGCTTTTTCTCTCTCTGATCTCTGCAGAGAGATTGACTTGGCAGCTTCTTCCAGCAGCCACTTCCGCAGGATGTGCTCATCGCCTTTTCCGTCAGACCCATATGCTTTGTGGCTAAGAAAGCTGCTCTCTTTTCCCCTGGTCTCTGCCCACACACTGAACGGATACACGTTCTCTCTCTTTCATAACCTGAAACATTACGTTCTCATGCCTCCACCCGTAGTAGCAATGAATGTTTCTGTATTGGCTTAGTTTCATACAGGGAGCCAAAAGAAAACTCACATAAGGAACTGTTTGTCACTTAAAAGACAGAAGTCTACATAAATATGCTTCTAAACTGTTCATTTATATTTCCAGTGCATTATGGGCCTGTTAAATGACCAACAGTTGCAGATATGTAGCTGGCAACCTATGTGTACTATATACTATATAGGGCATGAGAAATTTTAAATGTCCTCTAAGTTTTTTGTGGGGGATGTCTTCACAGCCATGCAGGGGAGGCATTTAATGCTATAAAAACTAGGGGTGACAAGATGAACGTAAAAGGACTAGGATTAACTGCCTCTTCAGCACACTGTCTTGCAATGAAATCAATGGAAGTAATTTATCCAGGGAGACAGTGGAAGTTCTAATGGTTGTGATATTCAGAACAGATCAGACTAAACAGCTAATTTGTATGTAGTAGACTTGTACGTGCAGATGTGGAGGTATGCCATTTTTTTGGCATACATATCTTAACTCTCCCAGCTTTTAAGAAATTGACCCTCAAAAAGAGTTTTACAGGAAGAAAATCACTTAGATGACCATCATATATGTTCCACAAACTTAAATTTGGTAGTCTTTCCATTCTTCCAATATTTTTCTTCCCCAGGGATGAACTTCTACTTGGGAATTTCCAGAAGTCTTCCTTCATCTTGATGTATTCAGCAGGGGCACAGCAGAGTACAGTCTGTTCGTGCTTCATTTCTGAGTTCTTGTTTTTCCTGATAATATTAAAACCAGAACAGAGCAGAACATTTATTGCATGAGCTATTTTAAAGGTTAGACATAAAGTGTACTTGACAAACAGAAATTAAGTCTTTCCAGTTGATAGTGCTGGTTTTTTAATCCATCTTTTGCATTGACCTGGATTTGCTCTTTTAAGACTTACTTTAGAAAGATGATACTATTGGAAATGAGCAACCAAAAAATCTTGGATGCAGAGCAGATTTGAAGATGTGCAGCTTTTATTCTTTATAAAGGTGACTAAACCAAACACATACCATGCCTTTTTCTATTAAGGAATCTTTTCAGTAGAGGATGGGACATTGATCAGTTCATGTCACTACAGCTCATTCCTTGCTTATTGCTCTCTGCAGGTACTCAGCGTGCCAATGCCCGAGCTCCAGCTCCTTACAAAAGAGATTTTGAAGCCAAGCTGAGGAACTTTTACAGGAAGTTGGAGACTAAAGGATATGGACAAGGCCCAGGGAAGTTGAAGTATGTTGAAGAATCTCATGAAACTGGATTTATTTCTCAGGCAGCTTGCCTTGCCTTGCACGTCTACAAGCTTCTTCCCATTAAAAGGAATGCAGATATTATGGTTACCCTTGCACTTCTGGAAATGTAAAGCCTGTCATAAAAGACTTAGCGCCAGCATGTGATTCATAGCAGAGGATACAGCAAGTTCTGAGCACTTCTTTTGTATGTTTTCTCCAACTATATTTTCATACAAACAGTATTACCAATACAGGGCCAAAAAGCACTTTGGGAAGAGGCATGCAGAACAGGAGGCATCTGAATTCTTCCATTATATCAATTGCTATGATTGAAACAGTTATATTTTCTCATGTCTTTTTCCACTGAAAAAACTAGGTAGGCTTATTTTTTGTACATCATTGCCTGTATTGATACCCCAGTGCTCTTTAGTAAAGAGGACTCATAAAATTAAATATCACTAAATTCTGAGGATTGCCTTAAAGGAACTGCTAATATTTTTACTTCAGCACTCTGAATGCTAGAGTGCTTGGAGTGAGGTCTTCCCTCCTTCATTTATTTGGTAATCGTGTGATTACATACTGTTATGTTAAGGATCATCATCATAAGATACTTTAATAATTTTTTAAATTACCAAGTCTTGTGACAGCTGTCAAACTCATAGTTTGATACTCTCATAGTAGCTATGAGGGTCTAGAACTTTTTTAAAACTATTTCTTCTATTAGAATAAGAGGGTAGGGTATTCTTCTTTGGGTTTTGTTTGATTGTTTTGGTTTGTTTTTTTTATTTCCCAAGCCTGTCACTTCTCATATTTTGCAGAAATTTGTGCAGAGCTCAGACTTCATTTATATAAACTTATTAAAAGTTTTCCACAACTGAAGTGGAATTAAAATGGTATTGTTTAGACAGTCTTAAGAGGAAATGATTGGACGTTGTCTGCCTATAACATAATGAAATAATAAACACTTAAAGCTTAATCTATGAAAGTTTTGTCATGAATGCTTGGGCAAATAGCTGGTAGAAGCGGATGGCATTTGCTACCTGTGAGATCCTGTATTTCTTGCAGCTTTTTTTTTCCTGACTTGTTTGCCACCCCACTGTGGATTTTTAAGCAGAACAGCAGCTTGATTTTTGAACAGGAGTTTTCTCCGGGTTCCTTTCCCAGGCGTGCACTGACCTGCTCATTTTTTTTATTTTAAAACCAGGACCCCAGCACAACTTGTGTACTGTCTGGGTCCTCTTGTTGCCCAGATACCTTTCCAGTTCCTGGCCTCTCTTTTTCTGTGTCCTCTGCAGAATAGCACAGTGCAACAGTGACTGATCTCTGCACAAACAGTAAGGCCAGCAAGGGCTTTTGCAAGAGGCTGCGTGGCAGGGTAAGCTGCCTCTTTTCGGGCAGCAGCAGCTCCCAGCTTCGATCTGACTGACTGATCAAACGCGCACATAAGGCAGTATTTGAATATAAAGCAAGCTAAGTTTCAGGAGACTAATTAAACACAGGTTTTTGGCAGAAGATAAAATGATTAAGTAAGAAGGATCCTTTCACCTCTTATTTTAGATCTTTGTGACACTTCCTCACTTTCACAATTTAAATTTTTTTTTTTTAGGAGGTTCATTATGTTTTCACATGTGATGTGTCAGTGTAGTTTTGAACAAACAATTGCCATTCCTTCTAGACTTTTTGTCCCATCACACTTACGCTGGGAATAATGTAGGCATGTGTAATTCTGGAGTTAGCACTTAGCGACTTTCCCACAGTTTTATCTTTTTTCCTTGTTAAGAGATTGATTTTTACATAAAAGGTTAGATTCTTGCTTACAGTAGGACTGATTTGGAGGCCCAGCCTTACAAAAGGATTTTAAACTTAATGAAAATGCTCACTTCAGGACCTTTCCTATTGAAGCCTTTAATTTAAGGAAGAACCAGGGTAGAAAAAATAAAACTACACTTCTTTGTATGAGAGACATTTTATTGAAATCTAAAGTAGATCCTTGAGGGAGACAGACTAACAGACAGAAGCTACCTGATCTGGATCAAATTATCCAGCTGAAATGTGTATCTCTATGAAGTCACCCTGTTACCTTGCAGTGTAAATAGATGTTTCCAACAGTGGTTCATGCTCACGAATTGCTGTTTCAAAATTATTTTGCTCTTCAGATTAATCATTAGGAGAGACCACTTGCTAGAAGATGCCTTTAACCAGATCATGGGCTACTCAAGAAAAGACCTGCAGAGAAATAAACTCTATGTCACGTTTGTTGGGGAAGAAGGGTGAGTAGTACAGGGAAGTAAATGTGATCTCAAAACTAAGTGTGTCTTGCAGCTGCTGTTTCACCAAACTTCTTGTGGTCTAGAATGAAAAGAGGAAGGATTACAGTCAGCAAATGCCACACACATTAAGTCTAGAACATACAGCTGTTCAAGATGACTTTTTAGGCATTGTGAAATGTAATGTATCCTGCCTTTGCAGAAGTAATGCATGTGTTTATGTGAATTTTCACAATAGTTGGTGTGTGTTTCAGAATGTTGCTGGGAAAGCAAAGAAAAAACAAACAACTTTCTCATGTTATTTGTATTTTTTTTCTGTCAGTACTGACACTGTATCTCCAGTGCTTGTTAAAACACAGCTGCCATTTGTTGGAGGCAGGGTGCTTCAAGAGTAGGCTAGAGGCTCAATCCTTAGTTCAACTCCTGTCTGAATCAATGGGAGAGGTGCTCACTGCCTCTCCAGGCCAGGGCCTGTGTCACAAATAAAAGCAACTAGGCTGTTGCTCATTGTCAAATAAACACAAATATTCCTGACATTTCAAAGTCACTTCAGAGGATGCTCAGTCTGTGTCTAATGAAAGTCTTAACGTGTTGCAAGTTGCGAGATGTGCATTGCAGAGCAAGATGTGGTTAGATTTTCTTTGCAAGTGAAACTGGAACAATACACCATTTGCCTCTTTCGTCTCTTCATTTGTGACCCTTCTGTCAGATCAGATCTTAAAGCCTACTGCTTGAGGCACAGATGTTTTTATTGACGTATTTCATGAATGTATTTGTAAATACATTCAAAATTTTATTCCAAGATATTTAGGAAACTGCAGCACAGAGCTTTTGGAATGCTATAGTGTGTATTATTGCCATGCAATGTGTGAGTCCTTAAAATACGATGTAATAGAAACATTTTATACAAGATTAGATAAAATTAATCTGTCTTTGAAAACCCCTAAATCCTGTTGTTTGTTTAAAGTTCACCATGAAGTGCTTAGTATTAATAAGGACTCACTGAAGTCTTAAAATAAAAAATGTTGTCAGCTGAGAGCCAAGTGTGGACTTGTTCGTATAAATAATATCACCATGCTGTCTGAGGAAAAATTCAGAACTGGAATGACAAGGCTGGTGCAGGATGAGATTACACTGTATTGACAGAGTAGGGTGGGGATGCAGGAACAAGGCCTGTCTTAGACAGCCCTACCAGCCTTTACTTTCACAGCTACAGCCTCGACTCAGATTTAAAAATTAAAGGGAAAATTTTAAAATCATACATGAGAGAGAGATTGATCCAGATAGACTGTCTACTTTCATCAGACATCAGGCTTTTGCATTTCATCACTCAGTACAGCAAGATGAAGAGTGACATAGAAATGGGGGTGACATATCCTGTTCCCATTATATCCACCTTTACACAAGACTCTCTTCCTAATGGAAAAGAATGAGTTAATTAAGGGTGGAGTCAAACTGAAATTACATCAATTCTTTATTTACAAACCTGTGTTTTGAATGAAGAAGGGTTGTGTGCAAACAGTATTGTTTCATCAAAGATGGTGCAAGGATATGTATCACATCAAACTATTCATTTGGCTAGGTGTAGAAAGACGGGTCAGGGTGGAGGAAAAGAGGAATACTGAAAGTTAATTGTTTCCTATTTGCTCGTCCTTTTCCTTTTTTAAGTGTGAGTTTGCTCTTGCATTTCTTTTCCTCTCAGTAAAGAGGTGTAAGTCTTAAAGTAGTGGTTAATGAAATCCTCACAAGTTAAAACCTTTTAGTAACTATTGATTTATTAATGTATAAATAAGTAAGTGGGGCAACTCAGACATAGTTACTGCTGTTCATATGATATTTATCATGTCTCAATGTTTGGTATCTTCCTTGAACCTTCAGTTTCTACAGTCATGCAACTGTGATGCTAGTTTAACGTTTTTACATTCATACTTCATGTGGTGATAAATGAAGAAAATTTTGACAGAAGTAATGTGGTTGCTTAAAGTTATTTTCCCTAAGTTCTATTAACTATTAGCAGAAGCTGCTTTGCATTTAAGAGGGGTAAATCTAAAGCATTAATGGTGCTTCCTAGGAGACGTGAGTCATGTTGCCAACAACATATTACTCTACTCCTGAATACCCAAATGCCCCACAGTTGCAGCTGTTGTGTGGCTGCATACCTCTTATATGAAGTTGTCTCACCCTTGTGCCAAGCCTTTAATTGTGGGATAAATCTGACTGGCAGTGCAGGACTCTCATGATTGATTTATTTAACATGACTCACAATAACACTGCGTACAAAAGGAGCTGTATGAAATGGCTGGTAGTCAAGCACATGATTTCTATTCTATCTTAAGATTTCTTAGTGAGTCTGATTATCCCAGAAGTCTGCAAGAGTCTTCCAGATGACCCTTTACTTGATCCTGGTATTTGTGCCAAGATCAAGATCCAGCAGTTGTCCATGATATCAAACCATTTTGGTTTTTTTTTCTTCAGTTTGAGGATGGAATCTGCCCTTCTTGCCAGGGTAAGGATCTGTTTCAGTACTTCACTTCTGAAGCTTAACAGAAACAAAGTGCTTCCAAATGACCGAGGGGAAAATGTTTTTCATTCAACAGAGGAAATAAGCTTTGTCCTCAACTTGATGATGGTACCTAGCCTTTACTTTCTTCACAACTTCATCCTCAAAAACAACTCTCATCTATGTCTTCTGTAAAATTTCATGAGCCAAAACACAAGTAGCAGAAGTCCTATGTAAAAGCTGACCATCTCTGTGATACTTCTGCCTGTGCATTGTCTTATTACTAAAGCGAGACCTTCTTAAAAGTCAAATATGAAATCTTAAATCTGTAGAAGATATAACTTTGTATCTATTTGTTAGGATTGTAATAGTTTCTGTTCACCGCAGGAAAATCCCTAGTTTTCTGTTTTCCAACTCTACCAGAGCATTCACTTCATTCTTAACTCATTTCACTGGTGACCTCTGCAGCATAATGTCAAAATTCAGTCTCAGTGCTTTGTCAGCAATGGGTTTGTTTATGATCCAGGAAGAAGGGGTGATTTAGATTCTTTGTTCATTAGTACTGGAATCTTGAATCAGCAAAAAAAAACCAAACCCCAAACAACAACAAAAATAAACAACCAAAGGAAATGCACTTTCCAAAAGACATTTAAATGCACTCAAGTTTGGAAGACAGACAAGAAAATTTAAACCAAGAGAGATAAATCACTGAAGTAATCTCAGATTATATTGCTAGGGAAAACAGAAATATTATCCTTCAAATTGTCCTGTTGTTGCAAGCCTGCAAAGACAAAATAGGACCATTGTTAATTTTCATTCTTAATTTGTCAGATGCAGATAGGTCTAATGTTGGCTCTTTTCGTGTTTTCTCCTCCCCTCTGCCCTCAATTATTTGGTTATATTCCTGTGGCAAAGAGGCCATTACAGCTGGAGCCAAAATTTTTGATGAGAGCAGGCCGCATAGAGCCCTTCACTTAGGAGTAGCTCTGTGAGGACTTCACATACCTTGGCATCAAGCAATCTGCAGAATAAAGGTTCTGGTTAAAATCTTATGAAATTTTAATTAAAATACAGCATAAGGAATGTAGATTCAAAAAAGCATTTCTTTGCACACAATGAACACTTTATAGTAATGTCAAGTTTCTCTTTAAAGGTTGGACTACAGTGGACCTTCAAGAGAGTTTTTTTTCCTGGTGTCTAGAGAGCTCTTCAATCCGTATTATGGTTTGTTTGAATATTCAGCCAACGATACCTATACAGTACAGATAAGTCCCATGTCTGCTTTTGTAGACAATCACCATGAGTGGTAAGAATTATTTTTCTTTTTGTTTTTCAAGCATGTTTCCTGTTATTCCTACTTGTACACAGTTGCTTATATCTGCTCAGACATATAACACAGAATCTGATCTGTTTAACCAGCAGCAAAATAGTTGCATTTCTTTAGACTTTCCTGATTTTGTTTTCTCTTGTGGTTTTAAATTGTCTTATTTCTCACAAGATCAGCAAAACTATGATTTGGAACGTGTACCATGGGATTGTCTCACAACAGCTCTCTGCATTTCTTGTACATTAGCAGTTATTTCATGAAAGCAATATTAGCCTCTTGTGCATTAAGAAAAAAGAATGAAACGTTTGGTTTCTTGTCAACTAAGGAAATTAAGGGAGATTTCAAATAGGCGTTACTGTTTGTAATTTGAGTCTTCCTAAAGAGTACACAGGTCTCCTCAGTGGAAAAAACCAACATATCTATTGGAAGGAAATCTATGGAGGTATCTTAATTGGGCGATGAGGGGAAGACTGCCGATTACATCGCTCTTAAGCAAAGTCTGTACATACACACATACTTCTAAAATTGTTACCAAGGATTTTTACATAATTCCATTTTCACAATATAAGCCAGTTTAAATTGCGCTCCATTGATTTAAGCCATGTCATCGCCATAAGTCTGTAAAGCTGTGCTGAGGATATTAACAGAGAATTCTGCTGTGTCTGCAATTAGATTACAGTAATAGTGGAATGACAACTGCTCATCTGTGTAGGACAGATACGTACTGAATTTTTATTTATTGGAAGCCAGTTATGAAGAATGGGTATCAGAAAGGAATCACATTACTAGTCCTAAAAATTAATAGGAAATTAAATGGTTGGCTGCATCCAGTTCAGTTAGTTGAAGCAACCTACCTGTTGAACTCCAATACTGTAACAATAAATGGCATATGCTGTATTGGAAAAGCAGAACAGTCTGGCAAAAAGGGGAGAAAAAACCTTATGTGCTATGCAGCTTCTGACAACGTTTTGTATTCAGCCCTGGCTTCTGCAGTGCCAGACCAGAGACCTTGGGGTGACAGAGGCATAACCCCCTCTCTGGGAGTGCTGGTGCCAGTGAAAGCACTGGTCTTGTACAGCCTCAGGGGGAATTCAGAAAATGCAGCTGTGACAAGCAGTTAGGCATGGAAGGAGAAGGCTCTGCATGTCACATCCTCATCTTGCAAACCCTGTGTACAGGCAGGTGTAATAAAGCCCTAATCTTTCCAAGAAAAATGTTGCTGAAGATGCATAAACAGAAAGTCTAAGAAACATTATTTTCTTTGAAAAAGAACACTAACTTAAATCTAGTTCTAGAGATGGAACTTTTCACAATGGATCTTTATTCTCATGGGAATATTTGCAAAGACCCTGCTATTTCAAAGTTGCTGCCATCTGATCTCAAATCCGTCAAACTCCCTCCCTCCCCCACACCCCTCCTTACACACCCAACAAAATGAAGATAATAGGGGGGAAAAGAGAGAGGGGAGAGGACGAGATTATTTAGATCCCATTGGCATAGGGATGGAGAGCACTGCAATACATAAAAAATCTTCCAGCTAATGTTTGTGAAAAATTTATATAGAACTCCATAATCACCAGTCAGAAGAGGGAGCAAGGAGCCACTGTAAACAGAAAAGACAGACAGCAAGAACTGTCAGGCTGGGAAAGGGTAGAAAAACCTTTGGCCTCCCAGTAACATGAAACCAAGTTAATCCTATATGGGGTGTGTAAAGAAAAGAGACAGTGGCTATCATTTTGGAAGATTTGCTTTTATAAAGAGTCTGGCAGGGGTTAATGGGTTAATATGGATTTGACATTTTTGAGAAGTTACAGCTTAGGTGTCTGAGGGATTTTCCACGCCCTGCAGACTTGCATTTTTTCTGTGCCTTACTGAGAACATAAAAGAAACACAAGAAAAAAAACCCCAAATACCACAATTTAGACATAGCTACATGATTTTAAAATGCTGTTTGCAAATATATGTAAGTTTTGATGACAGTGCAGTGTACAAACCACAAAGTTTCAGTATAACGATTGTAACTCTTTCTCTTCCAGGTTCAGGTTTAGTGGTCGAATTCTTGGTCTTGCTCTGATACATCAGTATTTGCTAGATGCCTTTTTTACACGACCCTTTTATAAAGCCCTCCTCCGAATGTGAGTACAATTGTTCCATCTCCTTTTTTTGTTTGGTTCCTTCCCCATGGACGATACCATCTTGTGTATGGATAAATTAGGATGTTTTATTGCCAAAGAAGACAGACCATTATTTATAATATAATAATTTCATTTCAATCCAGGACTCTCTTTAGAAGAGTACTTGTTTCCGCTTGTGGCTATTAGGCAGTTACCTAATAACTCAGAATGTTGTTTCTGATTATCATGTAAACCTCATGTTTTGTTTTAGCCATGTTATCAGCTTTCTTCTACAAAATCTTACATTTGAAGTTGTACAATGAAATGCTGTGGTTTATTCCAGATACTAATAGAGTTCTTATTCATCTGTCTTGTAATGACTCACAGGATAGGATATGAATCACTTTGTAACTTGGACTGCAAGACCCATTGTCAGAGGTAGACTGATTGTTGGCAATCTCTGTTTTGAGGACCTTTACTCTGATATACTTTAGACTTTGTTTTCAGAACTACTACTCCTGTTCTGGCTGAAACAATGAGAGCTGCATTTGCTCAGCATGCTTGGAATTTAAGACCTACTGAACTTCACTTTTTGTCCTCCATTTGAAAGCTGTTTTTGAGAACTCTGGAAGGTTTGGGTTTTTTTTAATATGATCATATATTCTAATAGTGTGGACTAATGCATCCATTCCTATTGCACATACATTTTAAAAGTACGTAAATGTTAACAGCATAATTTTTAATAAGAATGAGGACTAACCCCAGATGGACTTTATTACTGATATTGTGTGACTGCCATATTAAATTGTTCTACTTGGTGGTTCTCTAAACAATAAAATTAAAAATGAGGGGCAGCCACCTTTGTACTCAACGTAATTTATGCAACTTCCCCATCTAAGCCCTGGACCTTTGCTTTCCTCAGAACTGATGAGCCATCCAGACTACCTCTGCAGATGGGACACTGCGCCCAATTCATCAACTTTGATGTAGGATCTGTTACTGCAGGATGTCACTTAAACTACACTTGAGTGTCCAGGTATAAGTACAGGGCTTTCTTCTGACTTTATACAGACCCAAGAATAGAAGCAGGCAGGGAACCCTGCCGAGGAAAAGTACCTTACTTAATGAATAGCCCCAGTGTCCTATTTCAGAGAATGATTTAAGTAGTTAAGAAGAATGGCAGAAGTTGCCACCATGGTATTAAATATTATCAACAGATGATATGTTTAAAGCTTGCAATAGCAACTGTTAAAGACAGAAAGTGGCAGTTGGCTTACAGGTTGGATTTGGAAAAGAAGGACCAGGTAAGAGGAAATATGGCTATGGGAAAAGGTAAAAAGATATTTCTGTGGTAAGCAGGGTATCCGAACAGGCGTCTTTGCACAACAAGGAGACAAGAGAGGTGGTAGTGTAGTCACATAAGCAAATAGGATAGTAGTTGCTTGTTATAAAAACTTACCATTTCTCTTAGGATTTGAATTTGTTGTCTCTTCAATCTATGTGTTTTCATAATTCCAACCTATTCCTCACAGGAAACATGGGACAGACACCATAAGCTTAAAAAGCAATGTGTCTTCAAATTAGTACATTCTGGAGTTTTGTATGCTAACGAAATTATTTTGTGTTATACAGCAACTGCTATTATTAGGCAAATAAGCAGAGATTTGAAGTCATCTTTATTCAATTGACTTTTCTCTTGGCTCCCATTCTCAGTCTGTTTTTCAGGACTGTCCTATCTGAGTCTAGTTACTGAGCACACGCTACTGCCATCATCTGTGTTTGTGTGTTTTCTTTTTGTTTATGTTAGACTCTGTGACCTGAGTGACCTGGAATATCTTGACGAGGAGTTTCACCAGAGTTTGCAGTGGATGAAAGACAATGATATACATGATATCCTAGATCTCACTTTTACTGTAAATGAAGAAGTTTTCGGGCAGGTGTGCAAGATTCTTAATTTAATTTCCTTTGTGTATTCTACTGCTAGATAAACATTTATTTGGGCAGAAGAATGATTGTCATTCCATGCTGATTTGAACTTGTTTTTATGAAATTCTAGTTGATAAAAACAGTGCTGAAATCTAAGGAGGAATTATTATTTGTAACCAGTCAAACATGTCTTTCTGGTTAACAAGATTTTCTGGGGACTATCTGGAATTCCAAAAGTTTTGATTGCTCTGCTGGAGGTAGTTTACCTGCCTTCTGACTTTAATTGCAGCAGAGTTAGCATTCAAAGGTATTATAACACCTTTGTTATGATATTGTTTAGAAGACTTCACTACTTTAGTAGCTGTAAAGATTGTTTCTTCTTTTCAGCTTATTTTTCATACTAAATATGAAGATTCTTCACACTAAATGGTATTTTAAATATGCTTTTTATCAAAAAAAAAAAATTTGTTGTATGTTCTTTCATTTTACATATTCCAGTTTGCTAAAGTCAGTCTTGGCTAGTGCTTTTTAGGAATTACTTCAACTTAAAAATTTAAATTATTGCAATTCTTTCTTTTGTCTTTATAATATTGTGCTGTCACTTGGTCATTTTTTTCTTAAGATCACAGAACGGGAACTAAAGCCAGGAGGTGCCAACATCCCAGTCACTGAAAAGAACAAAAAAGAATATATAGAAAGAATGGTGAAATGGAGAATTGAGAGAGGAGTTGTACAACAAACAGAAAGCCTAGTTCGTGGTTTCTATGAGGTAAAAAACTCCAAAATGAAATTTACTTTCTCCCTTTATCCTCCCCAAACATTTTTCTCCTCACATACATTTCCCAAATACGGAGTCCCCAAAAGCAGATACATATATAATCAGAAGTGCCCTCACGGATATCAGGGGGGGCGGGGCACGGGATAAGGAAAAAAATTTTTGTTATTGGCTTAACCACTATGGTTATATATCTTCTTTAAACTGGAAAATGCTGTTGATCACTGTATGATTAGCAATGGATGCTTGCTAAAGAGACTTATCTGTTTCTTCATTGGGCCTTTGAGGTTTTTTGTGTGCATGCTGTACTCAGTGTAACACAATAGTATTTCAAGGTATTTCTCTCTTACTTGTTTTAACATGGACAATTAAATGGAATGTATTGAACTTAATTTGTCCTGAAATAATTCAGTATTATTTGCCAATAAAGTTCCCTCCCAATCACTGTGATCCTGCAATGGAAGTGCAGTGTAAGAAAGAAGTCTGTTTCTTTGCCTTTAAAAAGAAGAAAACCCCTTAATTCTTTCCATTCTTCAGACAAATGTTACCTGCTAAATGTCTTAGTAGCAGACAAGCCTTTTATGGGGAGGCAAAAATCAATAAGAAATGTTGCTATACATTTTATTTCCTTTCCCAGGTGGTTGATGCGAGACTTGTGTCTGTATTTGATGCCAGAGAACTGGAACTGGTTATAGCTGGAACAGCAGAAATTGACTTGAGCGACTGGAGAAATAATACAGAGTATAGAGGAGGTAACCTTAGTTTTTAGTTGTTCACTGACAGTGTTGGGGGGGCCTGGAATTACCCAGTTTCTAAGACAAAAAAGAACCATCCCATGGGTTACATCTTTAGTATCTTCTGAACTTCTGTGGTTAAGTTTGCGTTAGGAGAAGGTAATTTGCCCCTTTTAGTTTGCTTCATTGCTTCCCCATGCAGCTCTTCCCTTACTGTTCTTGTCTGGACAGCATAACAGAGCAGTCCACGGAAAGTGCTGTGCTCACCTGCACACTAGTAGAGTACCACCCAGACACTGGAGACAAATGGAAATGGTAGCCATTCCTAGGAGAAGCTACCTCTTTTCCACTCTTAGAGACAGGAAATTAGAAGTAATCCCAGTGACTGCAGGCTGGCAGTTGAGATAATTTGAGAACAACAGAAGATTTAGGAACTACTTTGAGAGAGATGGTTGCAGCATGATTTGTAGCTTTAGATACATAAAAAGCACAGCATTGGAATGTTTCAGGAATTGGCATTCCTTTTTTAGTGTTTGACTAATGGAAGAAATGCTCGCAAAAGAGATTTCACTCCTTTTTGTCATAGTAAATTAATTCTCTGCCTTTAAGATTTTTAAGCACTTCAGGAGTATTTTCTTACCTCCTGTCTTTCGCTGCAGTTGGATAAGAAATATGGCATTATTGTGACTAGGGCTGAACTAGGAAAAACTTACTAACTAGTCTCTCAACCACTGTTGTAGCACCTAAAGGTATAAAGGCTCTTGTTTTAACAGGTTATCATGACAATCACATTGTAATTCGGTGGTTCTGGGCTGCTGTGGAAAGGTTCAACAATGAACAACGACTAAGACTTTTACAGGTAAGAAATCAGGTGATCTGTGTAGAAATAGTGTGCATCTTTAAAATTAGGTGCTAAACTAGTCCCATCCAGGTTTATGACATCCAGAAATGATGGTGATGCTGGCTACTGGGAATAACCTGACAGTTCTTAGAGACTAACTGCTTTAAGTGACTGAAGCTCACAGCTACTTTTATAGATTTCCGAGGTAAAATATACATTTAAGATTAAGTATCTGATGTCAATAATCCTTTACAATTGTTTCATTAAAAGTACAATAAGACTTGTAAATATAGAAAAGAACTGCTGTGTAACTGGTTATATAAGTAGGTAGAAATTTTAATAATATTTGTACAGCTTTGGAAGGAGAAGGCTTAGATAGAAGTTGAAGTGCCTCAAATTAGAAAATAATGATGAAAAATTTAAAATTAGTCCAGTTTGATTTTTCACTAAGTCAGCCTGCAGAATCCAGTCATCCTGCTGATGAAGGACAAAAACATCTCAACAGAGGAATATTTTATACATGTAGGTTTAATATTGAGTTAGTTTTTTTAAATTCAGGTTGTCCATCATATCTGTAAAGAAACAGACAAACCCCCACCCCAAACCATACCGTGTTCTGGATCTATTATGAAACCCACTGTTTTTAACAATTCAGAATTTGCATCTGGTCACTGAGTATGATGAAGGATTTTATTTTTTTTTTAATCTAAATACTTAAAAAAGGTCTGTAAAAAGCAGCATGGGACATCTCATTTGATGGAGAGCCAGAGACGTCTGCTTATATGTTCCTATCTCATCTGTTAATCAAAAGCTTTTATCATATCCAGATCATTAAAAATTAAGTAGCCTCTGACCTGTAAAAACCCACGTTTGTTCTATTCATGACAGGTTATAACTAAATCTGCTCAACAGACAGCATTTCAGCAAATGTCAGTGGGCATTCTACCTAACCTTCAGAATTTAGTCTTTTTCTTAGAGTATTTAATAATGGTTTATAAAGATACTGAAATCCACATAGCCAAAAAGGCATAACACGAAGCCATTATCACACAGTATTACTTTTTTATTAGTTCCTCTTAATACAGAATAAAGACAGCAGGGAAAACCTCACTTAGGCCTAAGTTCATGTAACTTGATATTAATAGTGTTTTATTCTACAGCATCTATGAAACGTAATTGCTCTCTCAAAGAGAAACCATTGAAGGAAATTAATCTGAGAAGTTGTCTCTTCTAGAGCCCTACCAGGAAATGGTCTGTTTTCCTTTATCCTCCATTTAAAGAAGCAGTTACCACTTCTGCTTCACAAATTTCCTTCACTGGCAAATGCTTTTATATAAGCATTTGGACTTCAGTGGGTATGCTGCTATAAATAAATTTCTAACCGGCACCATCTGTGTATCCAATGTCTGTGATGTTTTGTTTGTGCTGGCAGTTTGTTACAGGCACGTCCAGCATACCTTATGAAGGATTTGCCTCTCTACGGGGGAGCAATGGTCCAAGAAGGTTCTGCGTAGAGAAGTGGGGGAAGATCACTGCTCTTCCAAGGTACAACTGTGTGTGTATTAATGCTAGAGATACTTTAGAATATCCATTACTGAGATAACAGATGAGCTGTTTGAGAAACATAAACGAGTTTTAACTGGATATGCAAATATACTATGCCTTACATGAAAATTTCTTTCTCCGTTGTTCCAGTGTCTGATGCATCCATTTTTCTTTGAAGTCAGTTTTGTTCTAAGATGGACAAGGCAGTGTAACTGTGGATGACCATCCGTACTGTAATGCTTTTTTTCATGGAAAATTAGATTAGAATGATAACTACTTCTGAATTTGATTTTGTTAAATTTGATTAAATGTGCAAGTATTTACTTACTGAACATGCAGCTCATTACTTAGGAGCAAGAATTAATATGAATTAATTAATATTAAAATCAAATAGCATTTGTGACTGTGTCCAGGTGAAAGCTAATGTCAGACTTCTTGCATTAGACACACGCAGCCTTTAGAGTTTGTTTTAATGATGTAATTTTTATGCTTTGTCTGAGGTCAGGAGTGTTAACAAATACAGAAGAGGCAAGTTATGAACTGCAGAAGAGGTGTATTTTGAGGATGGGTCATTTGACTTAAGAGGCAGCACAGGGACAAGAGAAGATGAAGATTTCAAAGAGAACATGTAGGGTCAATTGAAATATGTGAAGAGGATAAAGAAACAGTATGAGAGTCCAAGATATGAAAGCAGATGTTGAGTTGTACAAGCCCTTGCAGACAAGAGGCAGCATTTAAATTGGGTAATGGCAGGTTTGGAGGAGTAGAATGAGAAGGTTAAGAAAAAAATAGAAGTTGCTTTTCTGAGTTCTCCACTTGTAAGATGGGAAAAAGAGTTGTTTTCAAGCATCCGTAGTAACAATGCCAGGACTAGACTAATAACATATGAGTGATGCAAGAAACATCTTCTAGCATGGATGCTTCTTTGATGAAAAATGACAAATTCTAGTCTTTTCTATATTGTGATCAAGCTGATATGTTTCTGGAAGATTTCATTTCATCCAGTTCTATAATTCTGTAGCTTCTAGAATGGGTTAACAGTGATTAGACAAAGATTAGTGTGTGGAGTGTGGGTGAACTAACTACTTAGTCAGATCTCAGCTTTAGTATGGTGCTTATAGCCTGTGTTGGTAGCTTTGGGCTGAGGAAACTCAATGCTAATCCTAGCCCATCCCTCATAAACAAGATTCCTCAGGAATAACTTGCATCCAGAGTCTCTTTTTAGACACAAGGCAGCTGTCAGACACACAGAGAGTTTCTCTGACCAACAACCCTTAGCTTTTACCTCCAGCATAAAGTCAGAGGCAGAGATGTCTCTTGGGTTGGCTCCTGCCTGCAGGCTGCCATTTGACCTGCACTGAGAAAGTCAAAGACGCAGAAGTGGCGCTGTGAAATCCACAGGCACAGCAGGTGGCCTTTAAACAAAGCCATCTTTCCAGTTTACAGTACAAATAAGAGCCAGGCAACTGAGGATTAAAGACAAGCAAATTCTGGAAACTGCTATTTCAAATCAGATACTCAAATATCTTTTGGGGGCCTAGTAATACCTTGTAGCCCAGTAAGTCTATTTTATAGTTTATGGTTGACTACCTTAGATTCTGTTTAAAAAGAAAAAGCTTTGATTTTATTTTTTTTTTTTAATTAATAATTTCTGTCTTCGGAATAGAAGATTTTCTTGTGAGTTTAAGTAAGAAAAGAGATTGTGGGAGTTTTCCCATATATTTTCTAATCCTGGGATTCCTGGTCCTAACAAGCACAGCTTGCAGCATGGAAAAGTTCAGGATATGCCAGAACGGGATGCTCAGAATTTCCTCTGAAAAGGTTATGCCGAGGCCTGGATGTAATGAACTGCAGAATAAAACTGCTTCCTGTAGTGCAACAGGGAGAAATGTGTTGAGAATCTTTGCTGCTGTAGGGTGTTCATCAAGTGCAGGGGAAATTCCAACTCTTCACATTTAGGAGAATGTATCACGCCCTTGAAATTTCACTTATGATTCCTTTGGTTAGGAAACATTTGCTTTTTGTCTCTGTGCTTTTAACATACAAGTGTGAGAATTAAAATAAACAAACATTACACTTGTTTAGTTAAAATAAAACCAGCTGTGTATGGCAAACATCTACAGTTGTCATGAGCTGGCAATTCCTGGCATTCATACATGGAGAACCTTGATCTCATAAAAAAATAAATGATCTTCCATGTTTATGCTTCAATAGGCTAAGCCCTAAGCAGAAAGCAGTATTTGCATTTTTACATTATCCAGTTCCTATGCGCAGTGTAGCTTCAGCCTGTGTCTCACCAGCTTCAAAGCCTTACTGTGCAAACAACAAGTAGTACTGGCTTGAAGGTAAGACATTGTTAACGACGACCCCAAGTAGCAAACTTTCAAGAGGTTTCCAAACAAGCCCTGCATGTGTAAACACATTGCTGGATCTGCTGAGAATGCTGCCCTAGGACTCTGTGACTCTTATTCATTCTCTGATAACTAAAGCATTTGTGCTAAGGCACCATCATTCACTCGTAGCAGTGTTTAGACTTTGCAAATTGCCCTTTTGATTTCAGTGGGAGTGCTTGTGAAATATGGTAATACTTGGTGTAAGGGTGGCAAAAGCTAGGACTTAACAAGTCAGTGGACTTTGTTTCTTCAAAAAACTACTGCACTACTGGAAACATAAGAATACCTGTCCCCTTCTCTTCTTCCTGGTTTTGAGACACAGAAGGCAAGTGATAGAGTTCCTTAGGTATGTGGTTGTGGTCTAAGCAGCTGTGAACATAAATGCAAAAGTATTCACTAGATGTTTACATAATTCCCACTGTTCTACGTAATCAGTTCTGCTGAATCAAAATAGTGAGATTTCTGTAAGGTGCGTGTCAAGTTCCCTAGCTTTTATCGCCATCTTTTACACTAATAAGTCAGTAGCATGTAAAAGGCCCTGATGAAAAGATTGATTATTACAGATTGAGCTTAACTGTTGCTATCCCTGATGCCACTTCTACTTCCTTCTTTTGCACTGTGTTGTATATTATACTATCAGCAGAGGGACTGTTACTCTTTCAGCTCACTTACTGAGAAATTTGGTCCATTGCTGTACATTATATATATGTGCATGTGATGAATCACATGCAAATAGTATTTATGTCTGCCTGCTGGGTTTTAAACCTAAATCACTCTTTTACTACTGTAATCAAAATGAAGGGGAGGTTAATTGGGAATCTCAGCTTCAGGAACCAAGATGTTTTTTTCATGTTGTCATAAAATGTGAGTCCAGGAAGATGAACAGTTAGTGCCCACGTGGTTTGAAATGATGGGAAAAATACTGTCCAGAGGAAAAAAAAAAAACCACTTCCTTCTCAAAGAATTACAAAGTTGCTTGCTAGGGTGAGAAAAGCATGCGTTCTCTCAGAAGACAAAGATCTTAAGTTTTTGTCTTCTTTGGAAAACCAAGTCATTAAAATAGGTGATTGCATTTTCAAAATTGCCCTCAGAATTAAGATAAAACTCAGTTGTCTGAATAAACTTAAACAACATGCTGGCTTACTATTAAACCAGTTTGTAATGAATCCCTTGCTAATTATATACTATGTCTTTTATAATTTGTGGTTTTACAGCCCACACAGCATGATCCATAGTTCTAATGAGTGGCTGTCAGCCCCATGCAACAGAGGCATGTGGTTAGACTGTTAGTTGCTTAAGACTCTTCCACACTCTACACTGAACTCAAGGGAACACTGAGTTCCAGTTGCCCATTTGCTGCTGGGTCTAAATCAATCTCTTTCTTCAAAAGGGAAATTATTATTTTATTTTATTCTTGAAGTACTCTGCAGGAAATGCAATAATTTAATCTGTATCACAGATACTACTTTCCATGGTTTTTTGGAAAGGTAAACGAGGAGTAGAAAGAAAGCTTTCCTCCAGGAGCCTTAGAAGGATGGCTGGGTAGAGAAATTTTGCCAGGCCCCTGGAATACAGGATGGGGAAATGCCCTCTCTGCTTAGCATGTACTAGCACTTCTAAGCACTCAGTATTTGGGGAGGGTGCAAAATTCAGTGTTTTTTAAAGTGATTGCATCTTTGATGTTTGGACTGTGTTTATAATAATAGTGTGATCTTCTGTACTGTGTATACATTCCTTCAGCCTGGTATTTTTATGACACTGTAAGGCTGTAACTGAGTGTTTCAGCTTCAATGACACTTTATAATGGACTCTTATGTTTTTTAACAGATGAGATTAACCCACTTCACTTCAGGCTCCATCCCTGTAATTGAGACCCACTTAAAATGGCGATTAATGAATTTGCTCCCAATTTCTGGGAGTGGTTAGATTAAGTGAGGAGTTGCATTTGCTGTGAGGAGGGAGCTTGCTCAGTCCTTCCATTGACATTATGTTACACACTTACACTTAATACGGATCATACTGATGAAGGGCGGGTCACTGCAGGGAGAGTTTCTTTTTCAGATGGATTGTATTTGAATAATTGTGTTTCACTGCAAAAGAATAAAGTATTTGTAAACAGACACCTGCCAAAATACAAAAAGTTTTTCATCTTCTAAAATCAGTCTAAAGTGAGGCTTTGGTACAAAGCTCCAGGGCAGAAAAGATGCCTCCTCTAGCTTCTCTTCACATAATTTCTTCCTCAAGAACACACTGTATTAATAGTTATGATATGTATTTCACTAGAGCAGGCTCATCCACTATAGTGTTTTAGAAAGTATTATCCTTAGCCTGCCCTGAGATCAGGCAATGATATCCCTTATTCTACTATGAGGAAAAACCTTTATTATCTCCCTTTTCATTCCCCGGAAGGGGTTTTGAGAGTCAGTTCCAAGTGTGTCAAAAACCTGAGGAGATGGACTTTGGAAACAAAGAAATAAATGACGTGGTTGTCCTCTTAAGAAGCAGGGTGGTATGCTAGAGGAACATGCATAGTTTTGTGTAATTACAAAAAGTATTATTCTAAAGGTCGTTGGCTTGTAGGGCCAGACAGGTACAGAGTGTAAATCAGCACAATCAGTAATTTCCCAAGACCATGATCCATATGCCGAGGAAATGTAGAAGGAAGAGCATCTAATTTGTCTGTCCTTTACTACTGTGGGATTGTTTGTTGTATATCTAGAATATTTTAAATATTTCATCAAATCTAATATCTTATGCATATTCAATGTGCTGAAATACCTTGTTTGTGATTCAAATATAGTATTCAAGTATCATCAGTACAGAAAAAAAATACTACTTCTGAGAAAATACATTTAAAGCCAGGATTTCAGAACAGAGCGTCTGAATTGTGCCATGCTATATCATTCTTTTCTCAGGCACGTTTAATGGATAAAATTTGGGCTGCGTTTTGGGCTGTCAGTGTGTTTCTAAAGACCTTCATAAATGCTTCTTACTGGCTGATTTTAATTAGAAGAAAGTAGATTGAACCTCACTACCTGTTCAATTGGAAAACATCATTTGATAGAACAAAGTCTTCTGAAGGAATACTATCTGCCCATCTCTACACAAGCACATGCTAGTCTGTGTGTTCTCTTTTGAACTTTTCAAATAATGTACTTCTTCACCTCCTCTCTTTTTTTCCCCTCAGGGCTCACACTTGTTTCAATCGTCTGGACCTTCCCCCTTATCCATCTTTCTCTATGTTATATGAAAAACTGTTGACAGCAGTTGAAGAGACGAGTACTTTTGGACTTGAGTGATACACAAACCACAGTGCCCAGCTCATTGGACTTTTGTGGAGCTGTCTTCTCAAGGAATGAATTAACGTTTGTATTGGATTTCCTAGAGGAAAATTGTTTCACCGTGCAATTCAAATAATGAGGTTCCATGAAAGAGCTTATGTAGCAATTAAAAAGCATTTTGGTAGTGGCAGAATTCTTTACAGTGAAACTAGACTGTGCCTGATGTGCAGGAAAAACCATGTCTTGCAATCCATGGTTTTTCAGGATGGCCAAACTTCTTATGTTTATGTTCTGAGCAAACAAGAAACATGATCTCATGTTGTAGTCAACCTGGCTACTGCAAAACTGACATGTACCCGAAAACTGGATTTCATCAAAGTTGTTGAATAGAAGATTCAAGTCAAAATGTGAGATCATTCAGCCCCTCACCTACCCAGAAAAATTATCAAAAAATTATACAATAGTTTTGGGGGTTTTTAAATTCATAAAGGTACATTACCTTATGCCATATGTTATAATAGCATATCCAGTACTCGCTTTACCTAAGACTATGAGTGCCTGCATGGTGTGCACCGTAGAGCTCAAGTTTCTAGGGCAGAAGTGAGTTGGAAGAAAAGTCAGCAACAAAGGATGTAACAACAACAGCTTCCATTAAGGAGGTTTGTGGAAATGTGTTTGCCACTGGTGTGTATGACAAAAGATGAGCTGTTATAATGAACTGAAGACTGATTTTATGCTTTATACTGCATGGAAACTATTTTAAGAAGAAACTAGCAATTTATCACAGCATATCAGGAAAAAAACCCTAACACAGTGACTTCTGTTTATTTTTATAGGTTCATTATATTATGTTTCTTAGAGTGTAAACAGGAAACAAGCAAACTAAAATGCTATTTCTGGTTTTGTCACTTTCCATGCTTGAACAGACATTCTGCTATTGTTTATTCTTTAAGCACTCTCAAAGGAAAAAAAAATGCCTTTTATTTTTCTAAGAGTAAAAAACTCCCAAAAATATTTTGCACTGAATGTACCAAAGTTGAAGGGACATTATGATCTGACTGAGAGCAGACTGCATCACTATCAACTATCTAACACTTAGGAACCAGGCTTCCTTCACGGTGCCATGTCTATAGGTATCAGGACTGTGCACATAAGTAATAATTTTATAATATTATAAGTGATATTGTAATATGCATTTATTTTAAATGCATCTAGGTCATTTTTCATGCATTGGATAACTTAATGTAGTGGAGTTTAATACAGATATTTCATATGCTCCTCACAACTTTTTATTTGTACAGCGCCATAAAACACTAGCTCATTTGGAAACCCATGAGTAACCTACTTTAAGGTGAGCCACGGGTCATAATGCCACTGTCCCATATCAGTGAACACCTACAAGATGTAAACTGTTCATACTGCTAAGCTTGCATTTTCACTGATACCTAGTTTTCTTTTCAAATGTTATTTGAAAGAGTTTTTATGGCATATCAAACACTGCATGGACACCAATTTCTTTATGCTTAATTTTGCTGAAATACACAAAGCTTGCTCGTATCTTTTTTTGGTACTTTCCTCCAGATGGTCTTGTGGAACACTTGTGCAGTTGTGCGCCGTTTCTTGTACAGCTGTTGTCACATAGTGCATCCACCACATTTTAAAATCCCAGAAAGTTGCGCTTGGATGCTGGATGACAAGAACATGAATCTAGCTTTGCACTAGCCCTCTTGATAGCACTGAAGCACAGCAAGCCCTGTTCTGTGGGAAAAGTAGCTTTTGAAGTAACGTTCTCACTTTGGAGACTCTTGAAAGGGCATCTCAGGGAGATATCCTGCTTGGTTTTTTGGGAGTTTTTTTTCCAACGGAGGTGAACATCTATGGAGATGTCATCAGCAAAGACTGCCACTCCACCCTCCAAGTCAGAAGTCAGTTGCAGCTGTAGTGGTGGCAGCAAAGACTGAGAAAACCCTTCAGGCTTACTGAGAAAATGTTCCCTGTGCAAAGGAGAACCCACTTGCATTCTTTTATTTCAGGAATAACTGAGCTTCTGCATGACATCTGGGACTCGCTTAAGTAATATAGGTTTTCTTATGCTACTTCTGTCTGCTATGAAGTAGCAAAGAAAAATCCAAACATGTCACCCTGTTTTTACACATGTATTTATCAGTCTTTGCTAAGATTGCATGTCACAGATCCTAATGCACATCTTTTTTCAGAACACGAATGAGCAGTAGGCAAACTGACTTTTCATCAGGTCATTCCAGCATGGCTCATGTTTCACATGATCCATTAACTGAGTAGCTAAATTTCTGGCACTCGAAGCAGAATGCAACTTTTGATTGGTTGAAGGACTGCAGAATTTTGCTTTTAAAATACTGTGTTATCTGTGGTCTAAAAAGGAGATTTCCCAGGTGGAAACTGTATCTACAAGTTTTGAACCAGAAACTCTTTGGAATGAAAAGATTAAATATTTGGCACAAAGTAAGTTTATACTAGTCTGCCTTTTAAGTTACGCTTTTGTACAAAACTAAAACAATAAATGCATCTTGTCAATTTTTATTTAAATATATCTACTGCACACATTTGTTCTGTTTTTATGCATGTAAAAATAATTGAAATCAGTCATGATGATCTGTTACTGTGTAAAGATGTGACAGGGTCACCAGCAGGGCAGCTGTTGATTAAAACAAACAAACAAAAAAATCCAGAATCCTTGCAGCATTAAGACCAAGAGAGATAGAAGAAGCTGCTGCTTCCTCCTTTGCGGCCAACATCACCTGGGGAACTCTAGAAAAATGCTATTTGAAAGTGATGAGGAGTTAGCTTCCCCCTATGGCTACCTGTGGTGCCTCAAGCACTTGGCTGGCTCTTTGTGTGATGATATAAGGGATGCTGCTGCTGCTCTGAAGAGATTAGCAGGGAGGGAGTATAGGAAAGGAAGCCTGAGCTTTCTCAAATAGCTGCATCTTCTGGCTACTGCTTGGAATACTCTCCCTTCGGTGGGAATTTCGAAGCCATTCCTGTTAAATGTGTCCCAAGTGAAAGCCAACTTTCATGTCCTGCAGATGACTGCAATAGGCAACCATGGTGCTTTTCCTTATGATAAGCTGTGGCAGGCACGAGAGTCCAGATAGAGAAAGACTGAGAAGCCTTTCTGAAAGCACTGTATCTGTCTCACAGCTTTTCCAGACAGTGCTAAGGAGCTTTGCATTTAGGGAGGAAAAAAAGCCAGTCAACCTGAACTATAAAAGATTCCCTTTAGCTGCAGTGTGATGACAGCTTGTGCTAACTTAACCTGCAGCATCTCCATCAGACAGTGTCTGGCTGGGGAGGTCTCCACAAGAGTTAAAGTGAGGTGCCCATGCTTCCTGCTCTGCCGGGAAGTAGAGCCACACATTGCTAGCCAAAAGGCAGCTAGCAGGTCCTTGCAGCCCACCTGGCCGGGCTGGCAGCACAGTGGCTGCGAGTGGTCTTTGTCCTCCATGCCCCAGGGCCAGGCCCACCTCTTCCCAGGTGCCAGCATCCCAGACAGTGGGTGCACTTTCCTCACCTGGTGCAGCTAGCAGTCAATTTAACTGTAACACTCCTAAATACACTGGAAAAGCTTGTAATCAATGAAATTACGCAATGTGGCACCTACTGAGGCAAGCGGTTACCTGTTTGGAACCTGCAAGCCAGCAGCAGTTAGGGTAGCAGTGTTTTCGCCCACAGCAGGCAGGAGGCAGCCATCTGCTACCTCTGTCACACCGTCAGTAGCACCTTGTAGGGTAATGTGGGAGAGCTTTCTTTCAATCCAAAATAAAATCCAATTTAACACTCAGTCCCACTGACCAGAAGCAAACCTTTTCCCCCATGCCCCACCTGTTGTTTTTCCTTAGTCTTCATCAAATAATTGCCTTTTTTTTTTTGCTTTGAAATATGATTTTCATACTCCTTGTAGTGTTAATACGGAGAGTATCTAGAGTGAAATCCATCTGCGTACACAGGCCTGCTGGGCACCACATAAACTCCACATTGAAGCGGTTAACCTCGGGTCATACAGGGTATGGTGAATATATGTGATCTTCAGGGAAAATGAAAATCCAGGCAGCAGCCTGCTGGCAGGACATCATACAAAGTTTCTGGCATGGGTTAAACTGGCAGAGCACTGGACTGGTAGTTTGCTCAGTTTAAAATTATAGGAGAGAAAAGAGTTTTGTGGTTTCTTACGTATTTTTAATCCTTTTAAATGTTAGAAGAAGCTTCCTTCTGAAGCATTTGTAATGGTATCATCCGGTTGCTAAAACAATCTCAGCAGTATTCATTGCAGATGTTTACTGAATTTCTGCAGTGGTAGCTGCAGAGGTTTATGGAGATACTTGCAAGCACAGTCTCTGGGCTGAGGGAATTCCTGTTCACAAAAGGGGAATCTGTGGCAGCTGCGTTTGAATAGCCAGTGTAAGTTCGTTTCCTGTACCATAAAGCAAGTTAATTCTTTTCAGCAAATGAAACTTGTTTGTATTAAATTATACTAGTAGTTATGTTTTTCTTGCCACTGTTTTTACATGGAGGGGTGATTGATTCCTCTTAGCACTAATGGGAATTGAGCAAAAGTTTGGTCTCCACTGGTAAGATTACAGACTTAGCTTTAATGTTAACTCTACAGTATAAATACACAAGCATCACTGCTGTTTTCCCTTCTCATCCTTTCCTCCCTGGGCAAGCAGATTGAACTCCAAGCAAAATTTCAGAATAATGACTCAAATCTGGCTTCTTAAACTGCTTGCATTTTGGCTCAATTATGTGGTACGAAACAGAACTGCAGAAGTTTATGGGTTGACTAGCTCACCAATTGCAAGTAAAAAACCCTTTACAATTTTATTACCGCAACCGTAGTGGCTGCTGTTGGACTACTCTAACTTTTTACCTACATATTTTACAGTTAAAAAGACCTTATGAGGTTGAATCTGAAATTGCTTGTTTGCTGGAAAAATAAATATATATTAGGTAAATAGTAGGGGAAAAGAACTTTATTGTAA